CCTCAAATACAGAATAGTAATTTCCAAAATTAAAATTTAAGTGTGAAGTTTAACTCACATTTGCAGTCAGAAAGTGCTGCAAGGACATCAAGAGCTGACTTCTGTACTCGGAAGCAATCTACCAAGATTTGACTAATTTTGCTTCCCAGAGGAGAAGCTGGAATCAGGAAGCCGTTACAGAACAGTAATATTGTCAGGACAGAACACAGCAAAGATGCACAGGGTAAATTCACAGGCAAAAGAACCTAATGGGAGGGAAAAAAAACACAACAAGCTTCCATCAAATGTTTCAAGCATACATACAGAGCAAGAGTTTCTGGTAAAGACACAGCAAAACTGCAACTTCTACTGTCCTTACGGTAACATAATACTAATAACTACAAACAAGTAACTTTCCTCTTTCCCAATGAACTACTGCATAAACGGGAGGAGATGCTTTTCCCTATTTGGGAAAGCAACTCAATTTATGTTTTTCACTGGATCAATATTTGCAATGGATATAATGTATGGCAACTAAGCCTGTGAAGGTAGATGTAAAACCAAGTATGGTCCCTCTTTACAAGACTTAATATTCTTTTGTTATCCTATTGGGAATGTATCCTGCTGGATTTTGTAACTAGCAGAACTCACTCTTTCCACAGAGAGCAGCTCCTTCAGATGACCAAGTATCTGGCACAAAAAACTAGCACAAGATGACTTGGAGGATAGAAGGCTTTCAACAGCAGAGGGATCACTAACTGACTCATCCAGCAAACCTAGGGAAACAAAGAAAGGAGGAACTCAGGTTGTTAGTGATTACAAAGGATAGTGATCTCCAAACTTGATTTTTGAGCTACTATTTTGAGGTGATGCAGTACGAAGATCCCTTCAAATGCAACTGTCAGCAGAATGCTGCACTTTACCACAAACATCACTACCGTCCTTGACTTTTTTTTTTTTTTAATCTTTCTCCAGTTTTGTCTGAATCAGGCACTTAAAACACTGGCAAACAGAATAGCCTCTAACTTTTCTATTGTAATAGTACCTGAATAGTCCAGGGAGGCTGCTCTCAAAATACACTCCATTGGTTGAAGGAGAACAGTCAGTGCTTTAATCTTCACAACCTGTGGGCTTCAAGGAAGAAACAGCAATTACCAAGACAAGAAAACTTCAACTCTACCCCAAACATCTATCCCCAAATGCTGAGCAGACCAGTGATTTTCACATAGGCCAGCAACAGGACAGAAATGAAATTACTGTCACAGGTCAAGCGTTCTTCTGATTCTCCCTGGCTAACTGAAAGAGAGAAAAGGTTCTGGAATTGACAAACAGCCTCATCCAGCAGTGAAGAGTGAAAGCTTGTGTAAGAAGAGAGTTTAGACAGGCATATATTGCATTAAAAAAAAAAAAAATCCCTGTAAGACACGTGTTAATTAGTCTGAAAGTAAGTATCTATATGTCCTATAGTCATTTAACATATGATGATTTCTCCATGCTTTTTCACCATCTAAAGGGAGAAGATGCCAGTGGATTTCTCTGAGGTGCACAACAGATGAGGCAACACCTTAAACTGCAACAAGGCAGAGTCCAACTGGATACATGGAAAATACTTTTCATAGTGAGACTGGTAAAGAACTGGACCTGGTTGCCCAGAGAAGCTGTGGAATCCCCATCCTTTGGGATATTTGAAACTGGATTGGTGAAGGCTCTGAGCAACCCAATCCATCTCTTAATGCATCTACAATGTATAAAAAGTCAGATTAGATCACCTATACTGCTTCCTTTTACATTAAGTTTTCCTACTGTTGACAGAGATGCTCGATGTATGCAAGATGCATACTTCTGTTGGACAGCAGTTAAAGTTGTTACACTTGTCAGTGTTTATGTGAAAAGTAACCAAATCCTTCTGAATTTGACAGTCAAAATATCCATCTTAAACAACCTTGGCCTTAAAAAGTTAAAGGAGCTTTGTATTTCTGTCTGAAATTGCTGTCTGTAGGTAAAATACAAAAGTGTATGTGTGAACATGACACTGGCTCTTTTCATTTCTGTCTCTGAAACAATTATTCTAATAGAAGTGTCTGAAGTTTGTTAGCTATTTGCATGGTTCTCACCAATCGGTCCACTGTATTAAGCATTACAGTGGAAAATGCAGTGCAGTGAATAAAACAACTCTCAGAAACACAGCAGACATGTTGGGAGCGTTTGCAGAGTGAAAAAATTTCATAGCAGCAACTCCTACCATAGGTAGAACCTCAGAATTCCCGCTGCCAAAGCACCTGATTGTACTGGGGTGAAACGTTCCAGAGCAGATGTCACTAATGCCCAAAAACTGTCTTCATAAAACACGGGAGACCTGAGAAGAAAGAACAGTAAGTCATATGTCCCACTAACACGGATGGTATTTCTCATCACTGGATCCAAGATCTTCACCTTGCCATGTTTAGAAGAAGATCCACCAGTACGTGCTGTGCTTGAACAGAATCTTCCGTCAAGAAGGATTCTACTTGCTTTTCTATGCCTAACCAAAGCACTTTAGTCCAAGGAGCTTGACAACTGCCAAACAGACTAGTTAACAGTTTTACTGACTGCTTGACTTGAGAGGCAGAGTTGGATTGAAGAGAATCTTCTATATGCTTTATAATCATGTGGGCACATGCTGGCCACTCACAGTCCTTTGCATCGAGAGGTACAGTCAGTTTAGACCCCACAGAGAGGGTAAGCAAGTGCACCAGAAGCCAACGGGCAGCTGAAGCCACAAACAGGCTGGGATCCCCTTGCAGAACAAAGATCACATCTATGCCTCCTGTGTGAAAACAAAACAAAAAATCAATGAAGGAAAAAAAGGATTCTTCCTATTGTGGAGTCCTGCTGCAGTCCAGCTGAATGTTATTTTAGTTCAAGTAACATAGAGGCTTAAATGTGGTTTGTTTTTTAACGTTTTATTTTGTAGTTTCTGTTGCCTTTTAAAGTCAGACAGTCCTTAGGTACAAGCACACAAAAAGAAGAAAGTAAAATTTTTCAGATCTTCACATGTCTTAGTAACTCAGGAACAGAAGATGACTTCACTGTAATGGTTTTAATGATTGTAATATTAGGAGCGTTGAGGGTATATTTACAGAAAGAGTCTGTACCATCTGCAGACAGATCCAGTAAGGAAAAAAGGGAATTGCAGCAGCAGTACTCATTTCCATCACATGCTGCATAGGCTAGTACCAATCCAGCATTCCTGGCCTCTTTATATAGAGGATCTAAAGTTGGTGTTAACAGCAGGAGAACTTAAAAACCCACGCAAAGAAAATGAGACTGCAAAATGTAAGTGTCAAGAAATAAATGAGTCCCTGGTTAATTCTTCATCAGTAAAATCGTAGCAAAATGGATAGGAGGACTTGGGGCATTACCAGCCCTGGAAGCACTCACCAGCACTGCAGATGAAGTTGAGAGCAGACTGGTGCTGCACCATGCTGTGCACGCCCTCTACCCAGCCACTTCGCACAGATGCATCTTCCCATGCTGCTCTGTTCAGAGGCCCATCCTCACCAAAGAGCCTGGTCAACAGCTCCAGCCGCTGAGGGCAGAGAACACACAGAATAAACAGCAAGCAGAGAGGCTTCAGAGGAGCAGAGAAGCTGCATGTCAACAATATAAATACTGCAGTGAAATTTTCTAAATAAACACTAAAATAGAGAGTTTTCAGATTCTCATGCTTAAACTCAACATCTCTCTTTTTTATGGACTAAGCAGTGTAAGGATTCTACTGTTTGTTTCTTAAGATGCAGCAGAAAAGTTCCATATATTTTAGATCTATTAAGCTGCTTTATGTTGCACGCATCTCTTTCCCAACCAGAGTTTTGTACTATAAATGCAGTCTGCTATATAGAACAGGACTTTAAGAAGCTCCCTTATTTTTTGCAGGAAATCAATCTACTATGGTCAGAAAACTACATCTGTCATTGCAGTTTAAATCTAAAGGACCTGTCCAGGGATATATGATATTCTGCAGCTATTGATGTGGCATACTGATATCCAATATAATGTTTTGAACTGAAATTGAGAAGTATTACGTATGAGGACTTACAGTACAGCTTGCTGCAAGACAAGCAATGAGATGACAGCAGCTTGACGTGAGAAGTGAGAAGGCTTACTGCAGGTTTTCATATCCATATCATTAAGGAGTCTTACAAGCAGAATCTGTACGCTTCCAGGAGTCCTCAGCACAGGAGGAAGAGGGTGCAAAACTCACCTGCAAGTGCACGAAGCTGTCCTCCGCAGCCGCGACTATCCCAGCTAACCGCAGCGTGAAGGACAGGATGCTCGGCTCCGGCTCCGGCAGCGCCAGCACGGAGCTGAAGAACTTCGTCAGACATGGGTTGTCTCGCAGCAGCTTCACGCTGGGCTCTGGTGAACGGGAATTATCCAGGGACAGAAAGCGGCGTCACAGCGCGCAGGGCTGCGGCTCGCGGAGCTCAGCGCTACCGGCGATTCTCGGCTTCAGCTGAAGCCCAGCCCCCCCCCCGGCGCAGCCCTCAGGCACCGTTACCCGCACTCACCGGCTTCCCTCAGCTCCCGGAACCAATCGAGCAGTTTCTCCAAGCAGGTGTCATCCGGGCCGGACTGCCGCGGATCGGCCAGCGCCGCACAGACGCGGGGCAGCAGCAGGGCGCACGCACGGCTCATAACGCGGCGGCCCCGCGGTGACATGGCGGCGAAGCGGCGTTGGGCTCCCCGTAACCAAGGGAGAACTCGTTACCGCCGCCTGCCGTAAAGCGAGTGTCGCAAAAGCCGGGCACGCTCAGCGCGCGCAGCTAACGTCGCATAGGCGGTTTTTAACACAAATTAAGCCTTCCAAGCTCAGCGCGGCCCAGCTCTCCGCCATTCTTGCCTCTCATGGCCGCTGGGTGGCACTCGCGCCCCGCAGCACGGCCTAACGGCCGCCCCGCCAAGCCCCCGGGCGGCTGCGAGGGCGCTGCCTCACTCCCAGAATTCACTGCGCAGGCGCACGCTCCGCCCGGAGCCTCGTTGTCGCGTTGCCTCGTTGCCATGGCTACCGCAACCCGGAAGTGCCCCGAGCCGGGCGCCGCGGCCTGAGGTCGGTCCCGCTATGGCCGCGGAGGGGGAGCTGGTAAGGAACGGGCAGCGAGGGGAGGAGAGCAGCCTGGGTGCGTGGCCCTCAGTAATCGTCAGGCCGATGAGCTGGCGGTTGCTAGAGGAGGAGCGAGGCTTCTGTCCGTAGCGTGGGGGATGTAGCGCTCCTTTCTGTCCCCCCCCCCCCCCCCCCCCCGGCTGTTCGATGGAGGCTTTGAGGCCCTTCGCTGAGAGCTGCTCTCTTGTTGTTTTGGACTGTGAACGTTTGCAGGGACTGGAGTGCTTTTCTTATGGCACCTTCCTGCCCGGGTGAACGCTGTGCCAGGGCCGAGTGCCTTCCTCACTGTGGTTCCCCGTGCGACAGGCGCAGCTGTGCAGGGAGATGGCACGGAGTGATAAAAAAAGGCCTTAAAAATAACAGAAATAACATCTCGGTGTGCTGTGGGGAACGTTGCCTCGGGAAATTAAAAGCTAACCGGCATGGTGTGTGAGAGGCACATGTGCCTGCTCTCAGCCAGCACAAAAAGCTGCTTTGTCTGTGCTGTTGTTGTCAGCCTCGTTTCTTTTTCCATCAGCTGGGAGTCTGAAAAATATTTCGTCCCCTCCTCGCCTTTCACAGCGAGATAGATCAGCATCTTTCCAAAGAATGGGGCTGCAGCTGGAAGCACCACAGAGTTGGCAGCAAGTGAAAACGTTCGTCTGTGAGGGCAGCGTATGTTTGTGTGATCTGAAAGGGAAGTGGAAATTTTCCTTCTGCTGTGGATGTGCTCGCATTCAAGAAGCAGAAGGTTCTGTCAGCTCAGCGTGAGGAAAAATCAAACACTTTTTTTGACTCGGTTGTTTGTCCTTTCTTCTCAGCCCCATCGCTTCTTCAGTCTATTAAACGTTCCCATAGCATAGCAAGGGTGGTAACAAGTAAGGGAGGAAGGAGACAAAAGGCTGAGTTGCTGCTTGTCCAGCTGTGACTGGGGAGAGGCTCGTGCAGAGCCTGCACTTTGGGAAATGGGACACCTGAAGGCTGTGTGATGGTGCACTCCAAAGTGCCTAATCTCTGTGGTTCTTGTTTGAATTGACTTGCACTGTTAGCACACAGAATGCAGATCATGCTGTGTTTGCAAAAGCAATGACTTGTTTCCCACTGGAATTTGTTGTATTCGAGCTTTGTTGTGCTAGTAACAAATTATTCCGGATATGTATTAAAAGCAATTACTTGGAGAGTAGCAAATGTTACAGTTTGTGTTTGTTTCCCAGGGAGATGACAGCTTGTCTGTGATAACCTGTGAATCAGATGCAGAAATGGTGAGTTGTATTAATGGCATGCTGCAGATAAATGCCTTAAAAAGGCCTTTCAGAATGTTCTTGCACACGCTACACCCATGTGATGGCTCTTGATCGATAAGCCATCCTTCAGAGAGGAGAGCTTAAAATCTTACTGTTTGGTAGTAAATCTTACTGTAGTTTGTAATCTTACTGTAGTTTGGTATGAAAATCTCTTCTAATTCCAGATGTAATTCAGGCTTCTAAATTCTCTGAGAGTTGCAAATGGTATTTGCTTCCTTTTGCTTTTTATCAAGCTGAGGGCCTAAGTAGTTATTTTACTGTGTTTTAATGGAATTGAACAAGCCTTTCCTTTAGAGAAGTGGTCCTGCTCTATAATCATCTTGGGCTTGCTGTTGTATGTAATGGAGACCAAGAAGGTCTTAGTATTCTGAGCATGAATAGTCTACTTTATAGCACAAAGCTTCAGTAGGTACCATCCTATTTTTTTTTGTGACTGTTACTGTGGCCAGATCTGCATGTATTTAATGCTTCTGGTTTTGTTTTATGCACAAAAGGTTTTGAGTTATTAGAACAAGTGCTTTTCACATAAAATGGAGATTGAAGCCAGTTTTGCAGTTATATGCTGGAGTGTTCAGAGAGCACGATATTTTAAGTACACAATTTTCTTTTTTTTTTTTTTTCCAGAAATTAAAGAAGAAAATTTTTCACAAGCCTCCAAAGTCACCAAGTAAGAGCTCAAAAATCTTCTGCTTCTATTGTGCATAACAGGATAGATTTCTTTGTGGCACAGGAGGTAGATTTATTTGAAACAGCATCTTTGTTCTCACTGAAATTGTTCGTTGTATGTGCAGAGCACCTCTGTTTGAGATCTGTATTCTGAAAGCAGTGAAGTTAGACTTTTATAGGCTAAATATTGAAGTTCTTGATTTTTCAGCAAGGGGAAAACATTTTTTTTTCTTTTCATTTTAATAAGTGTTGATATTTGCTCTGTAGAAAGACCCTGGAACTACCAGAGATAACCAGAAATACCCGCACATCCTACCAACTAGTAGATATTTATGTTAGTACATTAAGCACTTCCATTTCATTTTTTTCCCCTGCCACCTTAGAAGTACAATGTAGAATATTCTCCATTAGTACTGGATCTGCAGCTGTAGTGTGTTTGTAGCTTATTTTCTGGGTTTTATGAGGGACATTTGTGTATGTCAAATGTATGAACATAGATACACAAGCATCTTAAGGATGAGTATCCAAGCTGTGCATTGTAAGTATTTTTGCTTATGTTGAGTGATATTACTGTTATTATGTTACTGTGCCTCTTTTGTTTGTGGCTGGGAACCTGAAACACAAAACAGATTTTTTGTGATCTTGAGCTTTTTAAGGCAACGCTGAGATATTTTCTTTTGTTTTAGAGTCTCCGTACAGCTCTAGCACACAACTGTATCCTAAGAAAGCTGCAGTTTGGAGATCTCTGCAGGGAACAGGCAACGCACGTTTTGAGAGTGCAGCTATGAAAAACCCAAAGCAGATGTGGCTGGGATCACTGAAACAAGGTATCATTATAGAAGTTTTATCTGCAACATGGTTACAATTCACTTCTGGGGACAGTTTAACACATGAAACTCTTAGACAGGAAATGTGTATTTGGTTTGAGGGTACATGGGAAGTCATTTCCATAGTATTTATTTGGATGGTTGGAACTGAGCTTGAGTCATCTGATCTTGAGCATTGGAATTTATAGTAGGAATAATTAACAGCATCTGGAGCTTTCAGGGTTGTATTTGTTCACAGTAAATCCACAGACTTAATTCACAGTTATCCCTGATTTCTGCTTTTTGTTTCATTTTTGTTGGCAGGAATGAGCCATTCCCTGAAATCAGATGTTGACATGGGACATCCACGAGCTGGCATTTCTAGTAGCACTCCAGAGTATTTGAAGGAAGCTCTAGGAATGAAGAAGCCCAAACATTCCCGTTCTTCTAGTAATGGTAAACTCCATAACTGTATGGTAGATAAAAATTAGTGGTCTGATTTTCTTCCATGTAAACTCATACATTGTTTTTTTGAGATCATAGCTTTAGTAAAACAAGACCCATTTCAATTTAACCTATGTTACAATAGACGTGTCAGAATATAATCATTGGAATACTTTTGAGATTTACAAATTGGTTGAGGCAGCTCCCAGATTTTTTGAGCAATGAATCACTATTAGCTTTCAGGAATTCTTGCAAATTGCCATGCATTTTCAGCTGAAAACGTTGCAAATATAATATGGTTCAGTGTGCCAGCTGTAGACAATTTATTGAACTTTGTAAAGCACAGTTTAAGAACCATTGATAGAAACCATCTGCTTGCCTGAAATTCTGTGTAATTGACTCCTTTTACTTCTCCTCAAGAAAGTGTTGTATCATGTGGTTGTGATATTAAAATCAACTGGGTGTTATAAGAAAGGCAAAATTTGAAACTTTTGTCCTGTTCTTTTTCTTAAATGAGAACTGTGAAGTTAAAAATCCCAGTATGAAATTCCATTTCAAATGCCACCTATACTGTTACTGCTAACATGTAGCTTGTGGTGACTCTAAAAGGCAATAAACTTTCACACATTAAGTATCAATAAAAAAACACATTTTGGACATCTTTAGATGTGTTTTGTAAATAACTGTTGGGAAAAGAGTTCAGTCTTCTGTGAAGTGCATTTTTCTTCAGATGTTTTAATTTAGCACAATAGAGAAATAAATTCTAGGAGAAATTTGCCATAAGATATAGCAGAAGGTTCATATAGTAACACCTCAATTTTGTTTCCATATATAAAATAAATTTCTTTGCTGATTTAGTTTCTTTTTTTTTTTTTTTTAATGGCCTAGTTTCCAATTTGATGATGTTCTAAATTTTTCCCTTTAAGGTTTTCATTTAGGAAAAAATATTTCTTTCAGTTTTGCTTATTTTATGTACATTTTTTTTATAGGCTACATTCCTGGAACTCCCGACTACAAGGAAAAAGAAGATATGTATGATGAAATCATAGAACTGAAAAAGGTACTGTCTCTCTGATGCTTACATAGTAAAAGCCATACTGTCTCTGTCTATCTGTACATACCAGGCAGAATTCTGTGGTACAACTTAGATATCCACCCAACACTTTTGTATTTGTAATATAAGGTCTAAACTATCTATTTAAGGCAATTTCATTGTTCTTATGGTGTGATAGATACTTCTGAGTACTGGATGTAGAAGCCTTGAAGTATATCCAGTCCTGAACCTCAGCCACGGCCCTAGCTGGACACAGAAAAGGTTCATTGCATTGGTTTCTATGCCCTTCAACCCAACCTCTTTTTTTGTTGTTTTTTTTTCTTTTTTTTTTTTTTCCATGCTCAGCTGTTGCTCGTCATGTTTTAATAATGTGATGAGACCAGATGTCCCTGTTCATTGCAGGGGAGTTGGATTAGAACATCTTTAAAGGTCTCTTCCAACTCAAACGATTCTATGACAGTTTGTCAAGTGAGGTTTGTGCAGTGTATGAAAGATAAGGACAAGTTGAAAGCTATGGATAAGTATTAAAAAAAAAAAAAAGTCTTGGCTGTTATAAATCTTTTGTGTAAGGTGGCCTTTCTGTTAAAACTTTTATTTATCTTCATAAATAACTTCATCTTTGTTCTGTCATCTCCCTTACCTGTCAGCCCTTGTCTACTGTGTTGGTCTTTGTTTTGTTTTTTAATTTATTGTGTGCTTTGTCCTGGCCATCATAATTGGAAATGTTCTGATGCCAGTAACAATTTATGTGAAAACTCAGTGTTTTTGAAATGAAACTTGGGTTTTTCTCTCCTTTTTTAGACAATACAAGCTCAGAAAAATGAAGGAAATCGTATGAAAACTAAGCTCCGTCGGCTAGAAGAAGAGAATAACAGAAAGGATAAACAGATTGAACAACTGTTGGATCCTTCCAGGGTGACTGTTTCTTTAGGGCAAAGGGTAAAAATTGACAGAACAGTGCTGATCAGTGTGATCCTCATTTCCTTCTCTCCCTTTGATTAGCAGTTAGTCTCTTCTGGAGCCATTTGTAATTGGCTCTTATCTAACATTGGGCAGCTCCCAGAAACTTTTCACAGTGTTCTGAACACTTCTTCACCTCTGCAGCCCCATCAACCAAATACAGTTCTTTGTTCCTGTTGCTTTATGCCTTGGCAGTGATGTGCTAATACAAAATGATGAGCATAGGGACTTTAGAATTTAAGCTGTTGGACTGTGAAAATTAGTACATTAGAAAGTCCTGTGGAAACTGTTAACAGAAGAAGTAGCAAAGTTTGTCACCTGTTTTGTTTGTCTTCTCTTGCAGGGCTCTGAGCTGGCACGATCTTTGTCAGCAAAGAAGTCTGGTAACGGATGGGTAATAGTTACTTTGCTACCTTTTGCTTTCATTTATCCTTTCTTCCTTTTGCCACTACTGATTTTTTAAAAAAAAAAGAAAAAAAAAGATAATAAACATTTAGGGAATCATATAACAATTATTTTTGTAGTCAGGTAGATAACTGACAGCAAGGATCTGGAATTAACCATATTGCAGATAGCTTTCTTTGTCACTTCCTTGAATCTGTTTGCACCAGTGTTTTCCCTTTTACTTTCTTTTAATTTAACAAGGTAATAGGTGCAGTTTTTTGGTTTTTTTTTCCCTTGTATTTTGTTAAAGATTGTGTGTTAGAATTGGTAAGCTGGCTATGTTGCCATAAATATAAGTTAGGGTCACAGGATGGCAAGCCTGTTTATGATTTACTAAAGTATGTAGGAGTAAGTATGTCTGATTAAGTGCAATTTACAGAGAGGGCAGGATTACGGAGAAATTGAACTTATGTGTAGATATGGAATATTCTAGCTCTCTGTTCTTTCTGTAGGTGGTTAATGGATTAAAACAGAAGATTTTCAAGCTAGAACAGCAGTGCAAGGAGAAAGACAACACTATCAAGTATGACTTTGGAGGGGTAGGGACTTGTATTGGATAAGATAATAAAGGGGATTGGAAATCCATGTTATTTTTTCACCCATATTCTTCTGTTTTTTTTTTTTTAACACAGATTAATAAACTTCGAGCATGTCTTAGAAATTATAAACCACCCACCCAGAAACTGTAAATCAACAAGCATTGCAGTGTCTTTGCCAGTATTGCTAGATTAACTTCTGTATTCTGTTTTCAGCAAATTCCAGTCAGACATGAAGACCACTGATTTGGAAGAAATGAGGATAGCTATGGAGAGCTACTGTGATGAGGTACATCCGACAAGGCTCTCAGCATCCATGCTGGAAAGGAAGTTTGTTCAGTTGTTGAGCTGAAATATAAACTGAAGATTTTAGATTTCCTACAGCTTAGGTACACGTGTAATTAGAGTAGAATTTTCATTGATATTCTTATAGCTCTAACTATATGTACCAAAAAAAATTTCTTCAGTAAATTGAGTGTGTTAGCCAAGAATGGGGAATAATGAAACTCATATAATCTATAAGTGTATTGTACATGTGAAAGCCAACATAATGATAGCCTGATTTTTTTCAGTGGTGACATCATTGAATTTATGACTACTCAAAGGGTCTTCCTCTGATTTTCTTGTAATGAACAAATATATTGTATTAACTATGTCAGCTTACCTCAGCTGGCTTGTTAATAGAATCTATATTTCACACTTACAGGTTCATCGTCTCCAAATCCTCCTGGCAAAATCCGAGACTATGAAGAAAAAGTATGTTAACTCTTTTTGTGTATATGTATCTGATATATCTCTTGTATACTTTTGATGGAAAACAACTAAATTTGTCATTTTTCTTTTGTCACTTTTTTCCTTTCTGGTAGATAGATCATTTAGTGGATGTGAAAAAAAATGCTAGAGATATTTAAGAAGCCCATAAAAGCTCTGAAAGTCTCTGAAAGTTTATTTCAGTTAACTAAAATCCATTTTCCCTCATGATTAGACTTGTTCTTTTGCTACTGACACGTGAAACAAACTCAAAAGATGCTGTTTTACTGTTGAGTCAGTTCTGCACCTTTCTCTAGGGAGTGTGGTGCAGAGAAGTTATTTTGGAGCAAACTTGATTTTCCCATGGCACAGAGATACAGATCCAAAGCTCAGGGTTGCTTTTGAGAGATATCTGTGAGTGGCACTAGTAAGATACTGTTATAGAAGCTTGTTCTGATGCTTGTCACTAGTGCGCAGAGGTATATGGATGGTAATAAAGGGAAACATGCTGTGAGAAATGATCTCTAGAGGAAATAAAAGACAAAGCACAAAGCCAAAATACAAAGCTAGACCCAAGTAAGAGCATGTGTGCAAGTTAGTGTTGGTCAAGCTGAGAAGAGGGTAATAGTCTAGTGGGGTAGGAAAACATGCTACCACACCACGTCAAATCTTTCTTTCACTCCTAGCATTGTTTTAAGCTCAGAGAGCAATATTAATTTTTGGATGTCATCAATCTTGACTGATGGAAACACGAGAGCTCTTTATGGGTTGTTACGTGCAGTAGTTGTGTTTCCCTAATTCCTATTGACTCCTGTGGATTAAAAACTGGAATTTGATTTGCCACTGCTTTTAAAAAGTGTTCATCTCTTGGCTCAGATGCACAGTGACTAGCTTCTCAAGGCTGTAACCATCACACTTAATTTAGTCACAGGTGAAAATGAGTCGTCAGGGCTCTTCCTTGTCCTCATTTATTTATGTCTTTGAAAAACAGTGGTCAGAGCTGTCTCTCTTGATTATTTGACTGTCAGTCTCTACTTGAGAGGCCGAGCTCTGAAGTAATAGGTGAAGTTGAAGGTCAAGACTCTGGCACACAGAAGGAGTGTTTCTTTCATGAAGCTTGCCTACATTATTTCTGGCTGACGTGAATGACATTTAACTCCTGTTTTTTCACTATTAACTATGAGTATTTCTGTGTGAAGCTGTGGCTTCCAATTGTAACCACGAAATTAGACAAGCTTTTAAATCCTCAGAATGGTCAGCAGCTGTTCCATTTTAGTTTTGATGAGCCTAAAACAATGACATGCAGTAATCATTATGATTTCTGTCACCTCACAGTTTTGTTGATTTGGTGTTTCTGTTTTTTTTTCCCCTCCTGTCTGGGACAGCTTTATAAATAGTCTTCCATGATATCTGAACAGCTTTGTTTGTTTTTCTTGATTTCAATTTCTTTTAGTTTCCAAAATGTAAATTAGGTTCAATTTTTCACTCTGCCAGCATGTCTGTAGACCATCTTCTCCTCTATCTCACAATGATTTCAGTGAATAAGTGATCTAAGATTCCTTTACAGTGGCATTTGTCCAAAACTAGGTCCATCCTTTGATTTCAGAAGTAAGTTTGCAGTAACTTTCTCATTCAAGTATTAAATGCTTCATTTAAGTATTAAGTCCTTCGTCTCACTAGAAATCTGTTTTGCTAACAAGCTTTACAACTTTGTACATCTGGAAGCTGTGATTTCTTCCTCCTTTTATTAGAAAAATTAGAAAGGCAGAATCATTGTAACACTTCAAGTATTTTTAATGCAGGACAGGCTTTCCCTATTCTGGTGCTTCTCATTTCCACCACATCAATGTAAGTAGCATCCACCAAATCGTTTTAAATATCTCATTGATTGAAATGTGTCTTAAAGAAAGAAATTTCTCAGGAGTTTACTTTCACAGGATCAGTGTCTTTCACATTAGAGCAGCATTCACAGTTATCTCAAAATACATTTATGTGTAGGATCTTTCTGTTTATAGCCTGTTCTTCCAATCTCAATCTGCTTGTTGAGTGAAAGAGAGCAATTTGGAGCACACAGGTTATCTTTCTATGTTGAAAAGTTTTTCAGAGTAGTCTCTGCATTGGCTGAAGTGGTTTTTCATTTGTGGTCCGTAGATTACTGGTAAGGCATTGTACAGTTTGTTAAGAAAGGAGATAGAAAGCTAAGTAAAACTCACACAAGCACTCCTGCTTATGTGCTGGGGAAACAAGAGTGTAAGTAATCAATGAACTTTCAAAGTTTAACTTCTTACGCTGATGTAAATTAAAATAATTGTGAAAGCGTTAAGCAAGATGATCTCTGTTCTGTTAAGAAAAGAAAATCAACTTCTCTAATCAAAAATGCTGAGAAATGTTATCAGGGAGAAAGTAGAGACAATTAAGTTAGCCAGCTAGATAGTGAGGCTGTTTTATTTCTTCTGATGCTGCTTTTTTGTTCTCTGCTTTAAAGTTAACTTCCTGTTATTGGTCCTTTTTCAAGTGCAGAGGGCAGAGATACACAAAAACGACTGAAGGCACTGAATGCTGCTGTCCTGAGGTTGTCCCGGAATATCAAGGAATTGCAGAATGAGAATCGGTGTCTGAAAGAAGATCTAGATCACATATTGAGCTGTTCTCCTGCATCCAGTAAAACAAAAAGTAGGCACTGAAATGTGGGGCAAGGGATTTAGATACATTTGAAAGATGTTTGAGAGGGAGGGCAGGACCCCAGAGTGGCAGAATTAGGGGAGGTAAAACAAAAGTGGAGATTTGGGTTGGGCAAAGGTTATAACAAGGTGTTTGTTAGAGGGGTCTTTCTCTAAATAGTGGGGATGCTGCTCCAGATTGACCTGGGTTTTCTTTATTATTATCTCTGAGAATTCTGGACTGCAATCACTTAAAGGTTAAAATTTGCTGGCAGATTTTCGGCTGCTGAAAGTGGATAAATACCAATGGCTTATATTGATTTCTGAGCTAACTGATGTAGGAAGTCAAGTCCGTCAATGTCATTTTCATCTTTTGATTGCTGCCTCTTTAAAGCTGAAGCTCAGTGATCTTAAAGTGATCTTTTTGTATGGACAGAAAAATATTAATTCATTAATGCAATTTCCTGCTTAAAGTTTTGTTATTGCATTTAGATTATAGTGAATGGAGCAGGCAGAGCCTTATGAGGCGGATTTTGGAACTAGAAAAGGTGAGTGTTAACATTCATGTGGTCATCTTAACTATCTCTAAAGAGAAAATGTAGAAACACTGGCTTGTGCTCATGGCAGTGTGTATTCTGTCTCACACATGTGAACTGATATCTATTCCATGTCCTCTTCCTCCCCTTTTCTTCTTTTCTTTTCTCAGAATTATTACATGTAGGTGCATACTTTAGAAACAGTTTTCATTTCATCTTTTCTCTTGGCCTAAGTGAAAAATTTTTATGTTGAATTTAATTTTCCTCTCTCTGTGTTTTCTTCTGTGTAAATTTATTTTGCTCAGAAAGTAGGTGACATGGAGAACACCAGAGTATTGTCAGCAGATAGTGAGTCAACACAGTTACTTGGTGTGTCATCTTCATCTTCTACAGACCCAAATCATGCAGCCTCTCAACAGGTAGATCATGTTGAGGAATGCCATCGTCTCCAAGGGCTAGTAAAGAAACTGAAGAGTGATAGGAGTGCTCTTCAAAGTCTTCTACTTAGTAGAGAGTAAGTGCAGTAGTTGTTTTTTGTTTGTTTTTTTAGCATAAGTTTTGTTCTGGTCTGCCACTTTCTCCACTTAGACCTTCCTTCTGCTAGGCTATATGCTGTCTTCTTTCTCTTCTGTTAGCAATTGATTTGCAATTTAAATTGCTTACACTAGTTTCATATGTCACTGCATAAGGGCAGGCAGGTTATTCTGATCATGAGCAGAGATTTACATACAGCTGTATATTGCTAATAAAATGCTTTGGCTCTCTTTACAAATTTTGCTTTATTTAAAAGGATAAATTAAAAGTTTACTTCCTTTCCAAATTTAAGAAAACCTATTTTGTTTAGAAGTTTAAATAAAAAATAATTACTTTATTGGAATATGAATGATGAAAGTATTGCTTAGATTTCCTTATTCCTGTATAGTTTAGACATCAAGCAGTTGCTTCAGGCCAAGACTGAAGCAGAGCTGGAGCTGCAGAAGTACCAGAATAACAAGGAAGAAAGCACTAAGGAAGAGCAGACCTTAAGGTATCATATCTTGTTTTAGTAGATCTTTAAAATAACACCAAGAAAAAAAATCAGCCAAAACCCGTTAAAGAGAATTATCTTTCGAAGTGACACACAATTCATAGATCATATGGACTGCAGGAAGCTGGGAATTCATTTATGTAAAAAGTCCGATGGATAGATGGGATAAGTTACTGGGGGGGAAATCTACGGAGTTTTTAGAGAAAGTGAAAGACTGAGATATACAATAGGAAAAAGAATTAGGTTGTAAGAAAAGTGAATGAGGTGAATGGAAAAAGAAAACTGCTGTGTTGTACTTGAGAAGTTTTTTCAATTTACAAGAAAAAAACTGTAGTGTATTTATCTAGAAGCTTCTGCCTTTAGATCATTGTTAATACATGGGTAATAATCCTGAGCAAATGTAGGGGAGAAAAATAGTGACTTCCTTATTACTTTGTAAGATGGGACTTTGTTAAAGTTTCGTATTTGTCAGTCATCATTTCAAATCTACTTGTATTATTAATAGCATCAATTGTACCATTCTAACCTTGGGCCATTTTCTTTATGATTTTAATCTAAGGCTTTGCTATCGCAGCTTAAGAATTGGTTGTCAATGTTTTGTTACTGTGAGAGTATGTCTAATGTTATCCAGAGCACCATTTCTCACTTTGACATTTAAAAAAGCCAAAGTAACCCAATTTTATAAAATAGATTCAGTCTATTCAAAGCATGAACAACAGAAAATGTCTAACTATTAATATATTTGCCTTTCCAACTATAGAGAGGAAATCCAGAACCTTACACAGAAAGAAGGGAAATCACAGTCAAAATTGGAGAAAGAGGAGAGACAAATGACAGAAGATGCATTGGAAAAACTTAATGAGGTACAGATAAATGTTTTGTGGGTATTTTTCCTTGCATCTGATATCCTGTGAATTGATCAGATAGTCTAAATAGCTAAATGTTTCTTCTCTTTTCTGACCCATGGAAGACACACAGAGAAGGAAAGGAGGAGGGGAGGTGGAAGCAAGGGCAAAAACAGTCCTTTCCAATGATTTTATGCTGACCAGGTGATCATTTAGGGCACTTGTGCTACCTGGTCAGAAAATAATATTCAGCTTTTCTGTTTGAATGGAAGCTGGGCCTTTTTTTTTTTTTTTTTTTTTCCCCTGGGAAAGTTTATCAGATGAAGAGTGTTAATGGTTACGAAAACAAAGTGTTTTGGTTTTGTTTTTTATTAAGTTCCACTGCTATCAGGACACGATATTTAAGTAAAAATGGAAGAAAATGCCAATACAATGCAATAAGCACTTAACCCCCTTGAACTGAAGTTTTTCTAGAGTTAAAGTATTCATAGCATCTCCATTTTGGGTATTCATGTGTCTAATAACTGTGTTTGTGCAGCCATTTGTCCTGGACAGTCTTAAATGGACCTATGTGCTCAATTTGTTTTATACATGAATGAGGAGTGAAATTGGTATCTCAGTAATCTTCCACCCCTGTGCTGAATGTTGTGGCTGATCTGTAGAGGTGAATGGGCACTGGCAGAAATGCTTTCAGATACAGGGAGGTCATGTTAATCTCATTCCACTAAAAACCATCTAACAATTATAACTGGAGATTTTGATCATTGAAACTTTAATTTTAAAGTACTCTGAAATACAGGTTGTACAAAAATATAAATAAAAATGTCCGTGAGCTTAAGGGGATGCTATTTTTGATATCTAGTGCTGTTCTGTAGGAATTTAAGTTAGATTTTTTGTTAGAGGGTGATGGATGCTAAATGATGTTTTGAATACCAAATAATTTGAGTTTCTATTTAGAAACAGCCAATGAACAGTCCCTTCTTTCCTCTGCAGACTATGTATATTCTTGGCCGGTAACCATCTATTTATTGAAATGTTCCCATTATTTGTAATTATCACTAAGTTCCTACCAATTTTTCATTTTAATGGTAGGTTGTCACTTTTAATATAACATGATCCATTTGCTAAATGTAAGCCTTTAACTCAGCATTTCAAAGGTTATAAATAAATCCTTTTCAAAGAATCAAGCAGCTTTTTTCAGGGTCTACAAAATCTCTTCTTCTTTCACTTGGAATTTTATACCAACAAATTAGATTAGTGTTTTAAAATTGCTGTTGTAACTTTAATTTGGCAAGTGAGGTAAGATGATTGGTATAGGTTTGATATTTAGGGATCAAAAGGATCAGATGGCCAGAGGCTCAATGTACAGCCACATCTCAGGAGAAATATCTGGAAGAAAATCTTGTTTTGCTCTGTTTCTTCGTCTTTTTCCTCTAATTAACTAATTTCTTCAAGACAGAAGAGTAGAGTTGTACTGATTTCCACAAGCTCTCAGTCTTGCATGTGTCGCATGGCCAACACATCAGTAAGGTACAATACAATTTTGGGGTCCCACCTGCCAGAAAGAGACACGAGAGAGCTTCCAGGTTGATTAATATTTGTGTTCCTTGGAGAAGAATTGCAAAATTAGGTACCCTGACATTTGTTCTCAGTCTGTCAATAATACAAAAATTATTTCTTATCAGCAAAACATTGATTTCCACTGTGAGATTTCCTACTGCTTTAGCAATGCATAGAAACATAGAAGTACGTGTAGATGAAAACCTTTCCATTCCCATGTTCAGCTAGCAACTGAAACAAGAACAGGAACGTTTTTTTACAGTAACAGTCATCTGGATTATAGGTTTGAACATGAGCAGTATTCAGAACAAAGATTTTCCTCCTTACCCTCGTTCCACCCTATGGGCAGGCACAACATTTAAGGACTTTGATGTCAATTTTTCTGAGTCAGTTGTAACCTATATCCCCTCACAGAATTCTAATGTGTGTCGGTGTAATAACTTAAAAATTCTCCTTCACAGTGTTCACCAGACTGCAGAGTTAAAGATGAAGAAGATTACAAGAAGGAGCAAGCAGCCAAATGTATCCAGAGATGGTGGAGGTTGTATCAAAACAAGGTGAGAGTCTCCAGTTGAGAAGCAGTGAGGTCAGCCTCCTCTGAATCTTAGTCTGATTTCAGAATCTGGATAACCTGCCACAGGACTCCAGGACCTGCAGCAGTGATTCCTTACCATCATCTTCTCTTGCACCACTCTTTTCAAGTCCTTCCTGATGCTTCTTTTGCCTTTGCTTACTAGAAGCTCATTTCTGTTCTGAGAAGTGCAGTTTCTACATGGGGGAATCTGGGTGAGCACATAAACTGAAGGAGCAGAAGCAGTGCTCCCTTAGTAACATTGCCTCCTTGAATACTCTTCTCATGGCTCCTGCCTGCTGCACCTAGCGTTAGTACTGGAGTAGAGCCCAAGCTAACCAACCCAGTGTGCAGTTGATGTGTCCTGCCCCTCTAATATGCCACATCAGAGAAGTCTCTTCTAGGAACTAATGCCTGTAGCACCAAGACAAGCTTTCATGAGAATTGTTTTGGTTTTTTTTTTTCTTCTTCGATACTGTTGTGAAGCACAGACTTCTCAGTGCTTAGGACCTGTCCTTAGGAAAGCTGCCTAACTTTCCATTTGAGGCTACAGATGAATGACACAATAGCTAAAGCTAGAGTAAGCAGTACTGAGTCCTGAAATCATTGCATTTTTTTCTTATTATTTCAAGTGTTTCCTTTTTCCTTTTCCTTTTTTTTTTTTTTTCCCAGCAAGCTTTCGAACAAGAGCGAAGTTTGTTAGGCAGTGAAAATATTGAAATGATAAAATATAAGGTGGGATTAAATTCTTTTAAAAGATTACATTATTATTTATTATGTTAAACTTCGAGATGTAATGATCTATGACTTAATGCATTTTCCATTTCAGAAGGAAGAAATTGCTCTGGATGAGGTGAGTATGTCTATGATACCCAACAAAACAGTGAATCACATGTAACCTGTATAAAAGCATAACCCAATATTTTTCTAAAATTCTTTTTAAGGAGGTTTTATTGTGATGAGCTGTTGTTCAAAGGCTGTCTTTGTAATTCAGGCTGTAATTCATGATCTACCTTGTGACATCCTGATTTTGTTTGATATATCTTTTCAAAGTGTTTACCATTCAATCTCAAACTTTCTTTGTTTTTCATTTTCACTGTGCTCTTCTGAAGAATTTCAAGTAGGATTTTGAAGCCTTTCCTAAAAAGAAATGTTGCTGAGTGTTCTTCAGAAATTGAGTTTGTTTGACAATTTTGTCACTTCTTAATAAATGCTTTGCATACAGGATTCGATTAAACTTTTTTCAGATCACACAGAATAGCATCTTACACTTGTTTCTTACGGAAAATAAAATCCTACTTTCAGAAGTTAGAACAAATTCTAATTGTGTGACAGAAGCATGTGTTATATCTAGATTAGAATCTAGTAAAATATTTGAGCAGAGAGGAAAGACTGCTGCATTCAGCATAATCACTGCAATGGTTTGCCAGACAGTGATCATACCAGAGCATCAGAGAGCCTGCTGGCTAGCCAGAATCTAATGGAGTGGGATAATATTTCTCTATGTGTGAAATATAGGCTAGCACTGGCAGCTGGAATGTAATTGCATTTGATAGGATCAGTGATGAACAACTTTTAGTCTGAGTTTAAACCATGGGTTGTTTTATTCCTCACATGCTGGGTATTCTTGGATTGTATCAGAGTATCTGTGAAGTAGATGTGTGAGATCCCTTCAGCATAAAAAAATGTCAGGACATCACTGTCCATTGCAAAGAGAAAAGCTATTTTGTGTATGTGCCTCTGTGCTTGGGACTCTTGTTTTAATTTACAGCTGCCATCTTTCAAAGGAGTTACCATTTCTTTTTCTTCTCAATTGTAGGCAGTTGTTGTGCTTCAGGCAGCTTTCAGAGGACATCTGGCTCGACAGAAGCTGCTACTGAGCAGTGGGCTGCATGATGCCCAACCTTACAACAGGCAAAGCCTTGGAAGAAAGGTAACTTCAGGGGCAAATGGTTATCCAGATATACCATTATTTTCACTTTACTTGGTAGAGTACTGTACTTCCACACTTAATTTTCTGTGTCACCCAGTAGAGCAATCTTAATGCACTGGTTGGCAGCACCACTGTATTTCCAGAAAGATATCAAGTTCATTCCCTGGCATTCCTTTCTGACTTCTTTAGTCCACAGTTTTTCTTAGAAATAAAGCTGTAATTCCTCTGCATTATAGACTGTAACTGTTCCTTACCAGTTAAGCATTTTTTTCTGTAAATCGTTTGCTAGCATATGTGAGCATCCTTTGCACCTTTAGCATGCTAAAATTAATTTGTAATTCTTCATTCATGCTGTCCACCTGGTTGTACTTGTCAGTTTTAAGCAAATAGGACAGTTGTAGCAGAACTGAATAGTTCATGAAGGTTGCCTTACCTCTTTTGTCTTCTAGGTGGTTTCATGCCTGAGGTATAAATGAACTTCAGAACTCTATAAGCCTTACCTTGCAAATATCTAGCATTTCATTAATTGAATATGTATACTTCAAAACTTGTAGGGTGATCAGGTTTGCATTCCTGCTGATTTAGTCTTATAGAACCTTTAAGACTGCAGACCAGAAGATAGAAGTGTTTGCTCCACTGCTGTTTTCACAATCAGGAATAAAACTGACAAAGCTTCTGTCACGTTTCTATGCAATTTGTAAAAGGTCAGTTCTCTTTGATCTGATTACTCTGCAGAACTCCTGTGTGCCTCATGTGTCAAACTCCTTGAGCTCATCTTCTCTCTGCAAGGAGAAAGAGAAGATTGTGACATTCATCCAGTCCATTTTCAGGGCTCACTTAACACGTACAGTACTGCTTGAGCAAAGGTAAGTGATGAATAGATTTTTCTGCAAAACTGTTTTTACTACAGAGGAGGGGTAATTTTTTTGTGTAGGACTTTAGTGTGGGTTCCTTGGCACGGAAGGAGAAAGAGAGCATTGTTCAAACACACACGCAAGATAGCTTTCTCATGGGTATGCAACTAAAGAGTTTCTTGTTACAATCTTCTTACATCCTGCTACATGTTCTCTCCCATAGGGATGAGGGAAAGTAGAAGAAAATAATTACTCTTTGGAAAAAAAATATACAGCTGCTATCAAACTCATTGCTGCTACACTAGCTTCAAATTGAGTGAAGGTCTGACATGTAAAAGTTAAATGTTATGTGGAAGAAGAACAGGAATGAGCTAGAATATGATCTTGCATGAAGTCTACTCAGCTCAGGAAGAACTCAGTGATTTGCTAACTACATAGGTTTACGGTGGCTCTGGCTTGAAAAAATACTTCCTTTTTCTCCAGGGTTTACTGCACCAGAAGCCATTAGTGCTGACTGCTATGGTTACAGTGAGAGTCACTTAATTGTCACCTCATGTGAGTGACTGTGCTCACTTCCATAAGTGATAAAATTTGATGCTAGTAATACAAGAAACTGTCCTGTATGCATTCTGACAACAGATTGGTGTTCCTGTTCTGTACTTCATGATATGCATTGTCTTTTTGCAGGTCCTCTGTGCCTAGCGCAACAAGTGAGAAAACAGATTCTGCTATCTGCATTACAGAGAACAAACCAGTCTCAGTAGCACTCCAGAGAACTTCAACCAGCATGTCATCTCTTCCTGGTAATCTCATTTCCCTCTGTGCTCAAAAGCATGTGGAGTTTGAGCAAATGTATGCTTAATTTTACAGAGAACTTCTGCACATGCATACACATGTTCATATGCACACTTGCACTCTGTATGCATGTATTCTTTTACACAAGCAAGTGCAGTCTCTCCAATAAAGACTGTAAGTTCTGCCAATACCACTTCCAGCTTCTCCATGGTATTTCACCTGCTTGCTGCCACTTCAGATTGAAAGGTCTCCCTGTGGGAAGGATGGTAATTATTTAAGGAGCAGATGTTCCCCTGTACTGCCTCACTACTTCCTCTTCAATCCTCCCCACCACTGTAGCTGTTGTATGGTATTCTCCACCATGCTTTGGACCTGAAGCCGTGGACAAGTCAGCCATGTCTATTAAGTCATGTTTCCTCAGCAGTCTTCATTTGCTGCAGTAAGGAAAAAAAATGAAGTTGTGGATAACCTTTCCAACTGGTACTACAGAGGTGCAAACTGGGAAAATGTCTTTTCTTTTCTTTTCTCGTGGCTGATCTACAATTTGGTTTCCTTCTTGATTTCTACTTGCTACTTCTGAGAACATAGAACTAAAGCCAGAGGTGCTTCTAAGAGGATGTTAGAAGTACTAAGCAAGAAAGGCAAAACAAAGATGCAGAAAGAAAAGCTGTAGGCACAGCTTCAAAGGAGTTAACAACAAACAGAAAAAGCTAGCTCTATTCTGAACAGGAGATTTTATGGACCCCAGTTGGAGAAAAAAAGAGCAGCTTTGAGGATGACCTGAAACGTTGACTTATTTTTGTTGGTGAACAGCTGACACTCCCTGTAGACTTTCTGAGAAACAGAGCGTGGTTTTAGCAGCTCAGCCTGTTTCTGTAAGATATGAGTTGGGGAATAAGCCAGATTTGCTAGGGCTCTGAATACAAATATTACCCTGCAGTGGAGGAGAAAGTATATAAGAAACTTTACTGTATACCATATTCAGAAGCACGTTCTACTACTTTTGAAGGGGTCAGTAATACTTGGTTCTGAAGATATTTTAGTTTTGAGTGATTTTAGTTGTGTCTAGAGACAGTATCCAGAAAAGAAATCCCACAGCCTCCCGTTTTGCCTGGGCTGTACTGCTGTAGCAACTTCAAGTTTACTGAAAGTCTGATATCTGTCCTTCCTAGCTCATGACTGATGTGAAAATGTGCTAGTGAAATTGGCTTTTGGAGTAATGCACTTCACTGGTCATTCTGTATTTTGGAAAGCAGAGAAGACAAGGAGCTTGTTTAACAGCTGAGTGATTTAAAGCAATCAAATTCCTTTGGCTTTAAATCATGCAGCTGTTGAACAAGCTCTTGCTTCATTCGTTCCAAGGTCAAACTCGTGTTTTGTGACCTTTCAATCTTTCAAAGATCTCAAACTTTCTATGAAAATACACATTGCAATAAGTCATTTAATTTCACACGCCTTTTGGCATTATTTTGAGAGGAATAGGAAAGATGAAAGTGTGTTTTAAAGAGGCTTATATATGGGCTAGAATAAATTACATTGTTTTCATCAGGTTAGGTATGTCTGTTTTCTTTAGAGGAATAAAATCTACCACAAGTGTTGCAGCATTCAGCACTGCTTTGCTCTGCTTACAAATGTGGATACTACTTGATGGTTTGTAGCCATTTCTTTGCTTCCTGTGAAGTGGAACAGATGATAACAATTCAGTCTAAAATTTAGGCTTTTGTTTCCTTCTGTCAGGGGACTGATAGGAAGGAAGAGAACGTTCTGAATATGCACAGCAATTTTGAGTAAGCATTCCTCTCCACATATTTCTTGCTACTCTGGATACAACTGTTAACTTACCTGAAGAATTTTTGAAATCATAATGAATTTACATATAGTTGTTTCACTGGTGTGCTTAGCCATTCACAAGCACAAAGGTACTGTTGTCATTTTGAAGTGAAGTTGAGGGCAATAAAATCTCAGTCTTCAAGAACAGGATATGATCTCAAATGATTTAGTCAATATTAAGCCGTTTCATATTGATATCTGTTTGTTGGTGGAGTTGCATCTTCAAGTTACTGTGCTTGCTTCCAAAAGTTCTCTTTGCTTATCCCTATCACCAGCACTCATAAATCTTTCTGAAAAATTCTCATATTCTTTGCTGACTGATACAGAGAGGAATTTCACTTAACTAGAAAGTCATGCGTTTCTTTGCTTCTGTAGGTTGAGGTCAGTGTGATGGCCTCCTGCATTCCTTATTTTTTCTTTTCTTTATTCCACATTCCAATTGCTGTGTATGCCACTTCCATACCAGCAGTTTTCTTTGTCAGGAACCTCTCATTTCACCATTACAACCATGGAACATCAGTTCTTCTCCCGAAAGAAGGTTCCCTGTATGCCCTCTGTTTTCTAGTCCAGTGTCAAACTCTCAGTGCGTAGCATCTTGCATGTTTACTTTTTCTACCACAGGTCATCTTGATGTGTTTTTTTCCTCTAGGAGATAGTCTTTTTTTAGAGAACTGACACTTGAAGCCGAAAAATAAGTGGAGCTGAGGGCAGGATATTGAGCTAGAAGATCTTAATAGCTGTCATCATTAAGTTAATAAATTTCTTGCACAGGGGTTAGAATCTGCTGGTTCTGCTTGTCAGATGTAAAGGGCCTCATGTATCAGTTTTCTCTTTCCAATTTTTACTGGGATTACCAGGGTTCTATCTGTTTATGCTCTGAACATTTCTTTAAATTGCAATTGCTGAGATGCATAGAACCAATAAAACCTTGTGTCATTAAGTAAGGTATAACAGCATGTGAATATATGTAGTGGTTTGTAGGTAGATGAATGAAAAACATTGTCACTGACATCTTCTATCATATTTCTCACCCATTTCCCTTCTTTCTATTTATATCTGACTGAAGTTCTCATTATGACCTTTCTGCTTAGCTTACGCTTGCTTGGATCATTTTTTCCTTTTCTGACCATCTAATAAATATTTATTTTTATGACCTGGTTTCAGTATCACATTGCTTTACTTTGTGGTGTGTAACCGCTTGCAAGGATTTAAAGACAATAAGACAAATCATGTGTGGTCAGTGTGTCAACTTAATGCTTGGCACGCGCGTTCTTTCATTAAAGCAGAACAGGAATAGTTACATGCAGGAAAAGACAGATGAGAGATATTCATAACTACAGGTAATTCTGGAAGCTTGATGGCTCAGAGAATATTACTCTTCCCACAAGGGCTTGTTTTTGTCACTGTTCTTTATTGATGCCCTTGTTTCCTTCTGCAGTTGTTTCGGCCGGGTCTTGTGAGAAGCAGCCGCAGCCCACTCTGTCTCTGTCTGTGGATGAAGCTCACTCGGATGATTCAGATGATATTGTAATTGTCTCTCCATCGTTGAGGATGAAGAAAACCTCCACCCACTTCCTTAATGGGCTCTGATCTTGAATTATTTGATTCGCAGACAAAGGTATTTCCACCGAGGTAAAGCGTATCAAAGATGAACAAAGGGGGAATATTAGCCTGCAGTTGTCTGCTTTTTTTCCAGCTGTGGATGAATACTTGTTTGATATGTCATCTCTGCAGATATATGGCTATGAGCTGCTGACTGTCTGTTACCCTTAGCCTTGTGGTACAAAGAGGGAGTTTGGGTTTTAAAAATACTGCACTAAAACAGTTGAATTTGGGAGACAGAAGTTGAAATTGACAAATTTAAATGAAAGCAGCAAAGACTTGAGATATTTCATAGAATCATAGATTTGTTTGAGTTGGAAGGGAGCTTTAAAGGCCATCTAGTCCAACTGCCCTGCAAAGACCAAGGACATCTACAGCTCTACCAGGTGCTCAGAGCATCTTGTGTCAAAGAAAGTCTTTCAAGTTGACTAAGATACTTTTTAAAATTGGAAAGTGAAAAATGACTTAGCCCCAATTTTCAGCCTGTGTATGCAAAGGGGAACAGCTTGTATTTGCTATGAGGTCCTCTCTGTTTAAAAGTTTTATTGCCACATTTTAATTTGTATTTTTATACACTAAACATTTACAGTCTGTGCAGATGTGTAAAGTCTTTTTAGAAAATCACTTTTGTCATAGTACTGCTCTAGGTCTACTGCATCTGCACAGTTTTCTTATTTATTGCTTTTTCCCAGTGTGCTTGCTAGAGTATATATTGTACTACTTTGTATGTGATCTCGTAAATGCTTCTATTTATATTTGTCAGAAAAGGGGTGTAATAACAGGAATGTCCTTGTGACTAGTTTTTCTGCTTACATATCACAAACACAAGTGGATTATGCACACATTAGAGATGACACTGCAAACATTTGGCGTAGAAGACATGATGCTGTATGTCCTGTTCCAGCTTATATCACTGGATTGCCTGAAATTCCTATCTAGCTAGATTGCTCATACGCTGAGCACTAAGGGGTTTTAAGTTTAATGTTTCTTTGCTGTTGACCTCTCCTCTCAGCACTACCTTTGTGTGTGTGTGTGCACATAAGCAGTATATACTGCAAATGCACCCCCAGTCCAATCACAGGCAGGGAGAAGGGTCACAGCCATTAGCTATGAGGCTTATGCTGGAAAGCATGGCACTGTGCACTCTGTTCTGAGGGATTTGCATGAGGATGGGTAAAACATCTTGTAGCCTGAACAGAAGCAGGATAAGCAGTTGACTTATAGATGTCAAGACACCCAGAAATAATAACACGAATAGACATTATCTTTACCGGACTTCATCAAGGGACCAGTGACATAATGGGCTGTGGAGAACATGATCAGAGAAGTCTTTCTAGATCTTTTACCCAAACTGTACCTCTTCTTGACTGGAAGAAGGACGTTATGTTCCAGGCTATCATTGCAACATCTCCAAAGGCATTAAAAATGCATTTTGTTTTGTTTTGTAAAAAGCGAATCAGGTAAATTATGTGATATTTATTGAAAGGAGAATTTATTTTACAAACGCACAGTAAAGTCTTTGTGGAGACCCTGATGGTTTCTTTGTCATCAAGGAGTAATAAAGTCTCCTGTAAACAGAAAGCACACTCTTAAATAGAAGATTTTTATCACCTTTTCCCTCTTCTTTTTTAAATTAAAAATCAGTCGCTGCTGTTTTGCAGAATACTAATAACTCAGAGCTGTCTCAGTTCTCTGATTTCAATGAAGCACTATCTGTGCTTATCATAGTTCATGCCAGTACTTGCAGCCAAAGAGGAAACTGGATGGCTGCAGCACAATGCAGCTGATTTCATTTAATCCCAGCAGTAGAAATGCCGCCTTTGCTTTTTCCAAAGGCAGTTTTGAGAGCTCTCCATACCCAAAGCAGGCTGAAGAATGTCATTTATACTCAAGTTGGGTAAATTTCTCCTGCTGGTACTTCGGTCACATGACTGCTATCTACAGAAAGAATAAAAGGGATAAAATCCTCTTGGTAGAAGCCTACACCTATTTCCCTCTATTGCTGAAAGTCGTGTTATTTAAAAAAAAAAAAAAAAGTCACTTTGTCATTTTGCTAAACAGAAGCAGATCTGTATTGAGTTTCTTATGGATAATGTTTCAAGTCTGTAACTGTGCCTGTCATGGATACCTCCAGAGAGAGAGTAACTAGAGCTGAGGACTGACACATTAAGGAGAGAATACGTAGTGTGTGTCAGGACCGAGTCTGCTATAAAGTACCCACCTAACTGTTACCCTGCAGGGAAATGCTTGGGCAGCAAATTTAATGAAGTTGACATTCAATTTATTGTGCCATAATAAAGAACCAATATGAAAGTCTCAGGAAATAGATACAGAGTAGAAAGACTTCTGTCTTAACTGAGTGTATGACCAGCAGCAGTGCTGTCGATACCTGAATTCCAGGATAAAGGGGAGACGGTCACTTTGTGTGACCCAAAGTCACCAATGGAAGTGTGAAAAGGAGCAAATGTCTTCTGGGGTGAATGAGCTTCATAAATTCAAGTCTGCAGACTGATAGCCATAACAAATCTCATGCTTCCTTTGAGCACGCTTCAAACTCATCATTCTGACAGATAACAACACGGTCACAGCATATGAATGTTTGGTGTATGCTGGAGAGTGAAACCTCCACAGTGCGAATACCCTGTAGATCTGGGAAGAGGCATGGAGCAGTAAAGGAAGAAAATGTTTTTCAGATGAAATGGGGCATTTTTCCTTTCCTCAACTCAACAGGGAGCTAAGGACAGTGAACATCTATGTGGCTCAAACCTCTCAACATAGGACCAATACAGACATTTCATGTCTGACAAACATTATCTGCAGAGAGCACTGGGAACCTTGCAGGGACATCAAGGTCCTGAATTAAAGTTAAACTCCACTGTAACCTCCCTAATAGTACACTTTCCATTCTGATGATATGCAAGTTCTGCATGGGATAATGTTGCCTACTTAAAACCCTTTGCAGTTTGCTGTACTCTTTGCAGGTAGTGATCATGTGTGAATATAGAGATCTTTCACATGATTTGATCTCTTTCTGTCCTTAAGTGCCTAGGCCTGCAAATATTTTACTGAGGCATCAAAACCTGAAAGATGTAATATTTCCTACATAGCTATGCAAATAATCCATAGACAGGCAGCTTTTTATATAGATGAAATGGAAAGTTTATTCATCTTGGCATATCAGAAAGCCATCATTTGTACGATCGTTTTAATAATTAGAACTGTGCAAGTTACCTTGAGATCTTTTTAAAAGCTAAAAGAGTTGCAGTGTATTTTTTCCTGACTGTTGAACTTTCCAATAAAGCCCACGTTTGTAAATTAATTGTTCATGCTTCCCTGTTTTGGTTGTTGTATTTCTATCACCTCTGTGACCTCTTCAGCTTGCTCCTGTTGTTTTCACTTCACACCTAGGCTGACCTTCTACTTCGGTCTGTTTTGCTGAGCCTGGTCTCCTTCATTCTGCAAGACAAGCAACGAGGCCAGTAAAAAATCAACTCTTAAACACATGGGGTGTGAGTTTCTTCATTAGTATAAATTCCAGATCCTGCTGTCAGTTGGCTGAATGGAAGCCTGGCACTATGGACAACAGCGGTGTACTTTTGCTTTCAGTCTTGTTTCTGGTGTTCTGTTCAAAAAGAGAAATCCTGTCAAGTATTTCTGCTGTGCCATTTCCTCAAACACGTGGCTTTGAGCAGAGTACAGCAAGTCTCATGTGTGCTGGTTCATCTGCTGTGCTGCTTGCTTGTTAGTTGCAATAGTCACAGGGTGAAATCTGGATAAATAATTTGCCAGAAAGGAAAAAAAAAACAAACAGATGTACGTAAAGCACATTTGTTCTTACTTACGAGGCCTTTAGCATTCATTCTGCCCTCGTTGTGCTTGAAGGAACAGCCTTGGACAGCAAATGTTGCTGTGTTCTTGTTAACAATGCTCTGCTGTATTCTGCTGATTAAGCCGTACCCTGCTCCTCTTGCCCTTTCCACTCTGGCTGTCCTATTGACTTGAAATTTGAGGTCACCTCTTCGTGCATCATTTCTGATCCCCAGGAAATGTTCCTGTTGTTCCTCTTACAAACAAAACTTCCCTCTCCAGGTGACGCTCAGGCTGTAACAGCTCCCCCACCACTGGGAAGATTTTTGCCAGCCTACCTCAAAACCACTGCACACTGGATACCACAAAAACCCCGTCAGAGCTTCTATTCTTGGTAGTGCAAACAGATTTGTCATGAAATCCTGATGCTCAAAGTGATGTGGAAGGAACCAGGAGGGCTGTGGTGCTCACTGTGACACACTGCCTTACCTCCTTGCTGTCAGCAGTGCAGTATCATGCCTGCACTTCACTCCTCTGCCCATCTCCCTCTGTCAGTTCAGCAGTGATGCTCTGCTTTGGTGGTGTAGCAGAGCTTGAAAGTCTTTCCTGCAATATGAATCTAGAGATGAAATATTGTAAAATCTGTCATCTTGTAATAGCACAGCTATAAAAGAAGCTATGCTTAAATGGCCTCTAGTTATATACACAGAAAATTAAGGCAGCATTACATAAACCTGGGGGTTGATCATGAATGCCTGCAATACAGGTTAGAGCATCGTGTCCAAACATCAGCTTAGGACGAAGCAGTCATCCTTAGTGGTGTCTTACACAAGGAATGGCAGAGCCTATCTGTCCAACCTGGAATTTTTTCCTTAACAGACACTCCAGAATTCATGCAAGATTTGGCAGTTCTCTTCCTCCTCCCAGCAGATATTCAATAGCCGAACACAGCTTTTCTGTGCTAGCAAACCTTTATTATCATACAAAATGTACCAGAATGTTATGTAGAAGTATTTTAAATAATTAAACAGAAACGACGACTGACAAAACAAACGAACAAAGTGCAATTTGAGCTGTGTTATTCTTTCCTTTTTATATTCACTTATTTGCTAATTTGCTGAACTTACTGAACTGCACCGGGTCTCGCTGTGATTAGAGGGAATTTGCCAAGTTCCTTTGTAATTGTTTCTTTGCAATTAACTAAATAATAGAATGTTCTGCGTGTAGCTCTCTGGGGAAAGGAAAGGAGAGGGCAGGTGCTTTTGCAATAGGATTTCCATATCTCCCACCCATTTCCCTGGATCTCACACTGGTAGAAGATGAGGGAAGGCAAGCGCTGCCTCAGGGCTGGGAATGAGAGAATTAACCTTTTCTTAATTCCTTACATTTGTTTAATGATTTATGTTGGCCCTGCTTGTGGCTATTTGTTAGCACCCACAAGGCCTACCCATCCACCTGCTGGCTCTGGCACTTTTAAACCCATATTGTTGGCTAAAGCCTTTCCTAACACGTGTCAGGGCTGCCAGTCAGGAGGTTCCTAGCTTTGTGGTATATTAAAATTGGAATTACTTCATCATGGAGTGAATAAAAAGAGCCATGGGTGTGGGATGGTTGTTACTAAAGTTGCTCTGGTTGCACAGGGAGGAGCATCTGAAGTCAGAAGCTTTTGAAGAGTGAAAAAGAGATATTTTCTAGGAGTATTTTCTCAGACTAATGGCCTCAGGGGCAGCTGGGGGCTGTATTGCTGGTTTTGTCCATCATTCTGTCTTCATTGCCTTTAATTTTGAACACATCTGTGTATTTTATCCAGATTCGTTAGCAGAGCTGCTGCCATAGCAAGTTAGCAAACACTAATGTGGCTCTTTGGGTCACTTTGCAGCAGGATTACTGTTTAGCAAGCTGACATTTGCAGTTTGCTTTGGTTCATTGTAGAACTGTTTTCTGTGCAAGGGTGACTTGCTGTTAGCTCTTGTTTCTGGTCTATCACAGCTGTGCCTCATTTGTCCATTTTGCTTTGGCAAAACAAGAGAGTACCTATTTGTGCTGGGAGGGAAAAGGCTGCTGGAATCATGGAAGCCTTTTTAAGTGGTGTATTGTCATGTAATCAAGGATTGCCTGAATGGAATCAAATGAGAGATAGGAGACATTAAGAAAGGCAAACAGTGCTTCCTGACGTGGTACAGCAGGCTGCTGTGCCCCACCATGCAGAGCATGGCCAGAGCTAGATCCTGTCCTTTGTCTTTTATTCCCAGTTTGCCAAATTTATTTTTAGGTTTTCCCACATCATTATCAATAGGTGTGGGATAGAAATTAAAACTGTTGATGCTTCTGTTTCTCTCAAATCCCCAATCTTCATTCTGCTCTAATTTAATCCAGCTGTCTCTGCAATGAATAGCAGTGAGGGACATGCACAGGGTGCTGTGAGGTGGCTCCCATCCCTCCTTACCCCCACCCCGTGCAGGGCCTCATCCTACTGCTGCTGTGGACACCCCTGTTAATGGCATCCAGCTTTCTCTGCAATTCATCCCGAAACATTTCGTTCAGTTTGATTTACATCAGCACTGTCAAATGGGATCTCAGTGTTGAGTGGCTGCTGCATCTGCTTTTATTCCACGTCCATCACATGGCTCACAAAGGCACTTGGATGCATGGCCTGATGGGGAGTTTCCATCCAGAGCCCCGTGGCAGCAGCAACATCTGCAGCACAGATTCCACCCCAGAGCACTTTAACACTGAACTGCTTAAACTGTGGCATCGGTGGCTGACGCAGAGATCTCATGGTGTGAGCGAGGTCTCAGCTCCTTGTCTTAGGGTCGTTTGAACTGGAGGTGAGATATTGCAGACCATAAAATAATTCCCTCATCCTGGCAGACACTATGAAAAAAAAAAAAAGAACAGAAAATGTGCTGTTGTTCTGCTGTCCTGCTGCAGAAGGCTGGAGGAGTGGAGCTCCTCTGTCTTGTACCCCTGTATATCTCATACTTGTGCACACAGCGCTGTGAGCTCAGATGTGGGACTTGGTGCTCTTTGTGAGCGATAAGATTTCACTTATTAACAACACCTGTTTGAAAATCCTGCCCTGGTCAAGAACTCTTACAGTGGTGGTAATGCTGCACCGTGGGGCTCGGAGCTGTCAGCTCAGTGACCCACAGCTCCACATCTGCGTGAGTTACTGAAGCAGTGCCACTTTTGTGTGCAGAGGCCACACAATGTGTCTGAATTGTGCATCGCGGTGTGACGGGGCGTGCTGGCAAACCTCATGAGGAGCCTCGGTACTGAAAATTCCCCCTCGTTTTTAGGAAAAAAGAGAGAACACGCTCGTGTTTGGACGCTCAGGAAGCCAACACTGAAGCACGCTGCACAACCGCCCGGCTTGGGGGCACGCCGAGCCCTCAGCTCAACACCTCCCTCCGCTGCCCGAAGGTCCGAACCCGCGCGTCCCTCTGCCGCGGGACCGCAGGCTCGCGGGGTCAGCGGGGGGAGCTCCGCGGTGGAGCATCTCCGCACAGCCGGGCCGGCAGGTGGGCCCGCCCCGCGCCCGCAGCCCCGCACGGGGGGGCCGCTCCCCTCCGCCGGAGGTTGGGCGGAGCGCGGCGGCGCCAATGGGAGCGGGCGGGCGGCGCCAGGCGCGGGGGTGGCGGAGCCTCTCGGCGAACAAAGAGGGAGCGAGCGGCGCGGCGGGAGGGGAAGAGGGAGGCGGAGGAGCCGGCCATGCGGGGCCGCAGGTGAGGCGAGGAGCCGGCAGCCCGGAGCGCTCCATGGCCGGCGGCTCGGGGTGAATGAGGAAGGCGAGGCGGGCATGGCGGGCGTCAGCTACTCGCCGCCCTGGTGGGTGAGCCTGCTGCACCGCCTGCCGCATCTCAGCCTGCGCTGGGAGCTCACCGCCGCCGACTTCCGCCCGGACGACGCCGAGTACCAGCAGGTGAGCGCGGCGGTCCGAGCGCGGTGCTGAGAAGGGGCCGCGTCCCCTCCGTCTACGTGGGGGTGGGGGGCCGTCCCGTCCCATCCCGTCCCCTCCCCGCCCAGGTGCGCTCCGTGCCCCGGGGCCGCCGGGACGGAGTCGCCCGAAGGTTCGGTGCCGCTCGGTTGGCCGCGTGGTTGTGATGATCGCGGAGCCGCGCGCTCGGCTGTCATCGCGGAGCGGGGCTGCGGTGGCTCCGAGCCGCATCTCAGAGCAGCGGCCGCCGGGGTCGCTTGGCTGCACCATTTTGCTTTTGGAGCGGACCCGTGCTGTCCTGCAGCCGCTGCTGCGGGAAAAAGGCTCCGGCCGTGAAGGTGCGGGCGGTGCTGCGGCAAGCAAAGCGATCGACGTGAGGCAGGAGCGCGGCTTTGCGGGGTGATGCCGGTGCGGAACGCGGGGGCGATGCGTGGATGCTGAGAAACGTCTTTAAACCAATAACCGGAGCGGAGCGCTGACCCGGCTGAAGCATCTGGGGCTTCGTTGCGTGAACTTGCTGTGGTTCCCGTGGCCGAAGGGCTCAATATGGCCACGCAGGGCTGTGGGCCGCAGGCAGCCTGCTGTGCCCCATCCTTTGAGGGGGGGGGGCTGCCCCTGGGCCGGGGGGCTGCGTGTGTTGTGTGAGTTCAGAGCTCACAGACAGCTGTGCTGTGTGACCTTTGGGTGCCTGCAGCTGTGTGGATTTCACCTGGATGGCCCAAAAGCTCTTTGCAGTTGTGTTCATTGCTCAGATAATTTTTTTTTACTATGATCACATTCAGACTTCTGCTCTCTCCTCCTCTGTGCAGTGCAGTGCTGCCCTTCCTGCCGTGCTGTTCAGGACTCCTCACATGGCAGCCGATGGCCTTTTCAGTCTGAGCATCAGCTCGAGAGAAAATGTCTTATCAAATCCCAACCCAAACGTCTGGATTACTGCAGGGTCTGTCTTTGGGAGCACGATGTGAATAGCAGCTTTGCTGATTTCAGTGCTGGGGGGGATGGCCGACAGCTCCAGCAATGCAGGCACTGTTATCAGTGCTTATATAACCGCGCTGCTGCGAGTTGGCACTGGAGTTTGTAGCCACATAGATTAATTCTAAGGCAGTGAAACAGGGCAGCTTAATCCGGGAGTGAGAACTGTAATGCTGAGTGTTCTCTCATGCTTCAAATTGTTCTGAATTCTGGCTTTTTCCATTTGCTTTATTATAAATTTGCATCCCTTGCTCTGCTTGCAGCCGGTGCTGGCACAGTTTCCCTTTCTCTTTAGGAACCTGTCATGTTATGGAGGTGGAACCATATAAAATCCTGAAAATAAGGCAGTCCACTTCTTGATTTAAATCCTGTTTATAGCTCTCTTCTTTGGAGGTCTCACGAGTTGGCCCAGTTTGTGCTTGTATTTGTTTTCTACTCTGTGGTTGATGCCCTCGTTCTGCAATGTGAGCTGTCGGTGCCCACAGTGTGTGAGGTCACTGGGGGATGCTCGCTGGGAATGTATGGAGATGGGAAAGGACAGGGTGTCCCTGGCTGCAGTAAGGAAGGATTACCTTTGCTAAACTGAAAATACCTTCAAGTTTCCATGACTTCAAGCCATAGAGTAGTTGGACTGCTGTCATTAAATAGGCATACAGCAGGTCACCATATCCATTCTCATTCTGATTCCACGTGAGGAAGGAAGCAGTGTGTCCTTCCTGGTCCTCAGGAGAAGATTTCCCAGCTCATGTGAGAGGGGAAACATTGCTTCCTTTATAAAGCACTGTTTCCTTTAGGATCTTCTTAGTGAAAGCCCACCCTCTCTGTGCTCGTGTTGTGATGGTAGTCTTTGAATTTTGATATCAGTCACCATTTGGTCAAAATATGAGGTTCAGTGGCTTGGATGTGGGTGCTGTTCTGTCACCTGTTGGAGTGCCACGTGCTGTGGGTGAGGAGGGTACAGATGTACCAGGATGTAACCTCTACCTGTCAGGGATTACTGTAATACCTGAGCCTCTATTCCACTGAAGCAGCAGACATGCTGTCCCCTGAAACCTTTCTGAAGTGCATGTAGTTCTTAGATAAGCACACACTGTCTATGTTTGAAATCCAGGTCTTTGTGTCTCCTGGGACTCTGGGTGGTGAGCACATCTGTGAGGACCCAAACTTAACAGCAGTTCTGCTGCTCTGTCCCACACAGCCCCATTCTACAAAGCAGTACACTGGCCCATCTGGAGGCAGCCCCCCCAACCAGGGGGTTCTTCTGTCTGAGAGCTTGAGGAATGCTTATGGTGATGCTGCCCCAAGGGCTGGGGCTGGAGCAGCTGGGGGGCTTTGACCATGTACCTCCTTTACCTTGAGTTGCTCTCTGAAATGCCATCCCTTGGTATTATTTACTTCTTATCTTCTCCCACTGCATATCATGTTGTGCTAGGTTAGAACATTGTGTGCAGCAGCAGAACAAATCCTCCCACCAGGACTGAATTGTTTCAGTATATGTATATGCATGGCCTTCAGATAGTTGGCTTCTCTGAACAGTCTGAGGGCATCTTCCCTACCCAGGGGAAGGGAGGTGAGCTTCAGCCCAGGGTGAGCTGTGATCCCTCACATCTGGGGTTGATGTGCTGGGTGATCCCGTCAGAGCTGCCTCCATGTGCTGCTCCATGCAGCCATCCCTACACAGCAGCTCATCTCTCTAGTTCTTTTCCCTGCCCTCCCGTGAGTCACTGGGATTGAAGATATCTTGATATGAACAGTTTTGTTCTGGCTGTATTCTCATCTGAGTCATACTGCAGTGCTCTGCAAAGCCTTTTCATTGTATAGTGAGTCACAAACTCTGGAGTGAAGGGAATGTAAAAATGGAGCACAGCCTGTGTTCCCCCTGACAGTTCTGATTTCTGTGCCTTTTGCTGCTGAACAGATAATGGCCATTGCAGCAGTCATGTCCACTTTCTGATTAACTCGATTGGAAAATGAAGGTGTTTCTTAGACTGCTGGTGTCACTAATTTAATCTGTTGTTTGTGCTTTACTGCACAGCATTGGATTCACTTTATTTCTTAGAGTTGGTTAAGGTACTGCAGAGGTCACGTGCTGGAAGGTGCACAGTGGGTGTAGGGATAGTTGTTTGAGATGGGGCCTTTGGTACCAGCAGGGAAGGAACCTAGAATGCTTCTCTGTAGCTCTTATGTCTCACTGTGAGCTGAGAAGTGCTCTATAAACAGTGAAGAGAGAGACTAGATATGGTTTAGTGGCTTGTGGTAGCAGTGGTAGTGGGAGGACAGTTGGACTGGATGATCTCATAGGTCCTTTTCAGCCTTGTGAGAAGAAAAGAGGCTGCAAGAAGCTGAGCTGTGGAGTACCTGGACTTGAACTTCTGCTCTCCTTAACTGCTGTAAAATGGTGAAGTTGACCTGAATCTGTGTAAATGTGGACTCTGTGTGAAGCAGGCTAGAGGAGAGCAAAACCCTCCAGCGCATCTTTGAAGTTCTTTCCTTGCATCCCAACAGTGCTGCTTCTGTTGCACACAGGCAGTAGGTGCAGGGGCAGCTGAATGTGCATGGGGAAAAAGCCTGGATGACAGATTCCCACCAGTTCAGAAGCACAGCCATGCTGAAGGTAGCAAAGATAAGAGCAGGGCTGTGCTCCAGTTCGTGGTTTTGAGATGGTCTCTCTGATAGTGTCACCCAGGAGGTTCTTTGCATGCACTGCTTGGTGCTCTTATGCAGTAGTATGTTTTTCTCCCCTGATGTATGTGCTGGGGGACCCAGCAGTGTGAGGGGCTGTGTAAACCCAAGGGTGCTGCCTTTTGTTGGCTTGCAGACTCTCATCCATGTGTGTTTGAATGTGTAGGCAAGAGTTCAGCATGGAATTAATTCTGTCAGGTACTCGCTGGCTCTGTGAGGCTCTTTCCCTGCACATAACAGCTAATGTCATCTTTGGAAGTATTTCTTGGCTGGGGAACCACGGTGAAGTCTGAACTGCCAAAAAACTTGGATTAGAGAGATTGTTTTAGAACTTCCTCTACTGTACTGGTGTCCTATTTCAATGCTGAAACCAAGAGTCTTTCTGTAAATTGGGAACATGTGTCTTAGTCAAACTGGATGACGTGTTCTTGTCTAGTTGGCTCCCAGTCAGTGGGTAATGGGCCTTTCTGAAGGGGGGTCAGGCTGGAGGCTGCATTTGGGAACAGCTGGACCTCTTCCAAAGCCTGATCAGCATCCTGCTGCAGCATTCGTTTCTTCATGCTTTCAGAAAGGTTAGGTGACCCTGGTTAGCAGAATCCAATGTTTTCTAATTATGCTGAAGTCGCTTTCAGATTTTGAAGAACTAACGGTAAATCCCTGCTTCCCTTTTCTCATCAGTGTTGGTTGCATGAGTAACAGTGTGCTCATACATCAGCCCCACTCCTGTCTCTTTGATCTGAGGGAACTGCAGCACAATGGCTGACCAAGAAATGTGGAACTGAGACAGTTTTTGATGGTTGATTTACTGAAGTAAGGCACAGAAGGGTTTCTGTATACCATACATCCAGTTGCACAGCAGCATATGGTATACAGACAGGGAAAGAAGTCAACCTCTGCCAGCTTTCTGTCTGCAGCCATACTTTTTTGCTGACCCATGCTGTGCTGCTACGTTTTCAGATGGTCTCCTGAGGGCTCACAGTTTCTGGAAACCCTGGCTGTGGATTGCTGCACTCTGGTCAGAGAACAACACTTCTAAATGTATGGTTTTAGCAAACCTAACTATGCACAGAGGTAAAGGATGGCTTGGAGAAATGTGGAATGCATTGTGGGGGAAAGAGATGAGGGTGTGTGGAGGTGGAAACTGTTTGCTGCTTATGTGTAGAATCCTGAAAGGTATTAATCCTGTGCAGAGAAGATGTTGTCAGCCCTGCTGAACTTCCCAGTGCTAGGAAACCCTTATGCTGTGCCTGGCTTGGGCAGCATCATGCTGCTCTCAGCTGCACCAGTGGAACCAGTGCTAAAACCATTGCTCTGCTCACACAGTGGGCAGCTGCTGGCACCTTGGCACTGAAACCACTGGTCCTGTTGAAAATCTTGCTTTTTTTTCTATGAGACCTGTGTCTCCTGATTGGGTTTGAAGCACAATGTCAATCTCATGTGCTGCATCCACCTCCTCTGAGTGCTGCAGGTGTGTTACGCTTGTGTGCACACAGGTGTCTGTTGGTTTGCAGCAAATACTGCTCAAGAACTTTCAATTTTGCCTTTGCTTTCAAAACAGATAAGCAGGAACAGGAGATTCAGATGAGGTTCTCTGATATAGTTTGCCACCAAAATGATGCAGCTGCTTAGGAAGCTTCTCTTTGGTGTCTAGATACAAAGCCCGATCACTGGTGTTCTGCAGGAAGGACCATGGGAATCAAATAGTTCACTTCATCTTTCTTTTTCTCCTTGATTCTTAATGCTTTTTTTTTTTTTTTTTTTTGAGGGGAGCAGAATCCACGCTCTTACAGTTAACAAAAAGCCTTTGTTCAAACATTCATCCAGTAAAACAAGCAATGCTTCAAGCAGATGTTGGTGTGGAATTTATTGCTGCTTATTTTTCATTATTAGGGAAAGTGAGAAGTTCTCACCCAGAACATATCTCATTAGGCATGGCTGGAGATTAAGGGTGGAAGTCAGGTGCTTTCCTCTGTCTTAATCCCAAGGCTTTGCATGTGGATTAAGGGAGCTGTGCACAACTCTTATCTCTCTCACTTGTATTTTGGATTAAATTTATTTTTGAACCTGTAAACAAAAATCTGCCAATTAAGAATGAGACAAAGGTTCGGTGCCTTTGTCACATTATGTTTCTTGATGCAGCATCTTCGGTCAGCTGGAGGATGGGCACCTCCAGAGCTCTGGCATCTTTCTTTTATTTCCCCCCCCAGCCCCCTTTTTCCCTTTTATTTTCCTGCTCTTTCTTCCAGGACAAGGCTAATTTTACACCTCTTTCCTGCTAGTTCCCACCCACCCGCACACTTGGTGGTGCAAAGCTCTTATAACTAAGCTCCTGGTGACTGTCAGCTCTCCTCTGGTCTCTGTTTTGTCTTTTAGCAGTAAGCTTTCTACCAGCTACATTGAGATTTCCCATTCCCCTTGAGCGGGTAGGAGAACTTGGCTTGGTTTCAGCTGAGCGAGGTTCCCATCGCTGGGGGAAGGGCTGTGGTGTCTGGGAATTTCTTTGCTCTGAAATTCGGGCAGGGCTCGAGTAACCTTGAAACATACCAGGATCATCTTCTGGACTGAACTTTTTAAACCAGCTTGCGCTCTTGAGACATGGATAAGGCTTAAAATACTTGGACGTACTGATGTGCTGGAAAATTGTCTCAAATAATTAAACAACACCTCATAACTGCTGCCCTCTGAGCAAGGCTGTCTGCTGCTCTATGTGCCATCCTGCTGCCTGCTCGCTGGGGATGATGATTAACAAGACAGGTGAACAAACACTGAAGGAAGATTGAGGTCATGCAAGACTTGCTGTCCTGGAGATGCACTCAGATGACAGTGGCTGAGAAAACTTGTTGCATGACTGCAGTGAGAAACTAGGAATTGGTTACATGCATCCCCAAATGAGAGAGCCTTAGCTGCACCATGAAAGGGTCAGTGGGTACCTGGCAAATAGTCCCTGTGAGGGCAGGGTGCTGCTGATGCTTTCTCCTCTTCCCTTGTCTTATATATAAAAACAGGTCAAACTCAGCACACTTTCACACTGTGAAGTCTTTAATCTCAAGGTTTTTTTTTTCTTTAGATTTCTGGTGGTGATCAACTTGCAGGTTTTCAGGTCCGTTCTCATCATGTGATCTTTAGTAAGCCACAGATGTGTGTGCTCCTGTAAAGCAGTCATCTGTGTGTGCTTAGAGCTGCAGGGCTGTTACTCTCTTGCCAAAAGAACAGAGGAGGGGGGAAAGGTTAGCATGCAGGGCGTAGGTAGGGAGGTCAGTGTAACTCAGTCCTGATACTTGTATTGCTTTCCTTCTCTGTGTGCTTGAAGATGATGGTAACATTTAGAACAACTTTTGCTTTTCCATGGCTTTTCCGTGGCCCTGGGCTTGTTAGCTCAGACGTGGCTGTGCCAGGCTTCTTTGGAGTTACATTTGAACAAGGAAGCATATTTTACTTCAGTGCTGAGAGCAGCCCTGCAACCATCCAGGGGAAGGAGCTGCCCCTCACCCCCCACCCCTGGAGCTGCAGCTCAGGTTGGGGTTTCTTTGCTTAGTGCTATGGGCTGGCTCTGCCTGGTCAGTCCCAGAACAGTGCTGCACATGCACCAAAGTCCTTTGCAGTGTGAAATTAGGGGTGAAAGATAGTGCTGGTGAGTCCTAACAATGCTGGGCTTATTCCTGGATGGGGAGAACCTGGCATGTGGAGAATGGATGTTTCACAAATGTGCACCACATTCAGATGTGTTGTTATGCCAGTGCTGGTGTCTGTGCATGGGCACCCTTTTCAGTCTATAAAACGCCGCTGTTCATGCAGTGAATTTAAACAAGCCTGCTATTCAACACTGAAATTCAAAATAACTCCAAAACCCAAATGGAGGCACTTGAGTTGCATAATGGTGTCTGTTACAAGAGGGCTCTGGCAGATGATGTAATGCCCCTCAGATAAGGGCGGGCTGTGGGACAGGAAGGGGGTCTGGGTCTGGGTAATGGTAGCAGAGCTATCTCCCGGGTGTTAATTAGCAAACTTGAATAATCCCAAGGTCAATTAGGTTATAGTTGTGCATGTGGAAAAAAAAAAAAAAAAGACTTGTTGCTCAGTACTGCCTGTTGTTTCTGGCAGTTATAATTGCTTTAGTGTCCATTGGCAGATCGATGGGCAGAGCAGGACCTTGCTGTGCATTAGGTTTGCTGCTTGGGATGGGTTCTCCTGCAGCCTCACAGTGCTCCCAAGCTCCCAGTGAGGCTGGCTGTGGCTGCTGGGAGCACTGGGACCACAGTTTGCCTTCCCTTCTCACTGCTGCAATTGTCGCTCTTTGCATCTGGGCTCAGCCTGCAGCTCTGTTGTTTGAGCACTCAGAACAGATGACTTTTACTGTTCCCGAAGCCTCCAGCAGTTTTGTGGTGTGTTGCTTTCCTTCCTTTAAGCTTATGTTGAACTATCCCTTCCTTGTGTCCTTCACCCTAGGAGCAGCCCTTCCTCCTCTTGCTGTGTGCTGACAGTGCCCTTGCACCCCTCTCTGCCTGCTGGAGGAGGTTGGGATGAGGCTGCTTCCCTGCTCTGCTCCTTCACCCCTTTCTCTCCTGTTTTACAGTATTCACTCCAGGAAATGCTGAGAAAGTTGAGAGTGGTGGAATTCATGAAATTCAAGCTGTGCTTCAATGGAAACATGTTTTCAATTTCTGCCTCCTTGGGAGCCCGGCACTGAACTGCAATTGTTAGAGCTGGGGGTTGGGGCTGGGATGAATGGAAGTGGTGGAGGCAGTGCTCAGTGCATCCTGCACTGGGCCTGGCTGCTCTCTTGCACTGCAGGACTGCTGTGTGACTTGTGATGGCTGCATTCAGCTGTCCAGAAGCTGTCCAGGTCTCTTCCTGTGGAGTTCACTCTGGCTGTAAGGCCTGAGTGGCAGCAAGGTGCTGCCGTGGGATGTGACAGAGGGACCAGGAGCACAGAAAGCCCCTTTGAGTGACCTGCTGCTGACTTAAGATACAAATTAAAATGGTGACTTGAAAGCCTTTGGTAAAACTCGTTAATTCATTCCTTCTTTAATTAGATGCCCAGCAACAGGCTTGTAATTCTCAGAGCCTAGGAGCAATTGTAGTTGTGACAAACTGTGCCGCATCAATTGCAGAACTCTGAGTTTTGGTAAATGCACCCCTAGTGAGCTCTTGGTTTGCTTTTGGAAGGGTAGAGCAATGAAGGAAGTGGCTGAGATGCTCAGCGTGTGACCTGCATCAGACCTTGTGATGGTAATGAAGAGGAAAGGGTGGAGCTGCCCTGCTGATGTGCTGCTTTTCGGTGAAGGTGTCATCAGATAACTTTCAAGTGAAGGTGGAAGGAGAGGAGATGTAATAACTTACACAAATGTCTTCTAATCAAAATAGTTCCTTCTGGAATTCTACTTTTCCAATAAGAATCTGACTAGCTGCTTGCTGGCTTTGCACATGCAGCTTGTTTTGCTGTGTGGGATGGGGAAGCAGCTGAGCATTCTAAAACAAAAAGTACCAGGTGCTTTTTCTTGAGTCTTCTGGGGCGTGAAAATGGATGGTAAACTTGCATCGTGTTGTCATCTCTTCCTGTTTTTGAAAGGAGGAAGGAAACTTTAGGGCCCCAACAATACATGGCTTGGGCCTGAGAAGTCTGTATTTCTGGAGGAGAACTGGATGGAAGGTTAAAAATCCATCAGAGAAAGAGTTGTTTCTACCCCCGTTGCAACTCTACTTGTTAGCTCAGATTGCTGAGTACAGTGGTAGATCCTGGGAACAGGATCTCCATGTAGCTTCGGACTGACAGGCTGTCAAGTGTGAGCAATGCTGGAAGGCAGAGACCCAGAACAAGTCTGTGGTGGAGATAGTTGGCTGTCACTGTGCTCAGACAGACACAGTTAAAAAGATAGGATGTTTTCTTTTCTTAGGATCTGAACTTGGGTAAGGTTAAAGTCAATGCCTTGGACTACAGTGGGCAGGAGTAATTACACAAGGCTACAACAGAGGTACTCCATAATGACAAGTGCAAATGCACATGTTCCCTTAAAAGGTAAACTTCTAATTACATTAGGAGGCAGAAAAAAAGAGAATCATCTGTGTTGGTCTTTTTTTTTCCTATCTGGATGTAGTGGAAAGCAGCTCTAGCACATCCAGTGAGGACAGAATGATTTACTTGACACTTCAACTGTAGCTAAACAGAAGCCTTTACTTTGGATGAGAGTGCTGTTCTCAAAACACCACATAATGCTTCCTGTGTGCCTCGTGCTGTTTCAAAATGTGACCTGTGTTTTCTGTGTCCTCCCATCCCTCCCTGCAGCCTGAGTTCATGCAGGTGTATGGGCTGAGCAGTGGTGCTGGCTGGGGCAGGGCTCCATCCCTGAGCAATTCTGTATGTGTGCAGGGAAGTTCTTGCAGATGTGGAAACTACAGATGTAGAATCAGCCTGAGTAAGCAAACTGATGGCAGCAACCAGTTTACAACATTGAAACAGCCTTTTGTTCCAGTAAGTATAACAAGGCAAAAGTCCTGGTTGACCTCAAGACCAGGGCCAGGCCTGGTGTGCTGATGGGCTTGTGTTGTAAACACCTCAAATTAAAGGGTGAACTAAAGGTGATGACTACAAAATCCATCCAGTCCCATTGAGGAAATTCTCATTGTGGACACAGAGTGGTTGAGGATGTCTTTCCAGTGCTGTGTGAGCAGGCAGCTCTGGGAGAGGCAGTGTGTTGGTAATGCTGGGAGCACGCTGCTGAGGTGTAAGTAACGAGGCCGGACAGTTTACTGCAGCTCTGCTGTTTTTATTAGTGCAGCTTTAGCCTCGGGCAGAGTGGAGGTTATGGTGGAAGGAGGAAGGGTTGTGCTGTGAACTTGCATCTTCTCCCAGCAGATGATGAGAAGCAAGGTATGGGGATCTCCTTACCCTAATCCCCACTAGAGCGCTAATTCTTCTTGTTCCTGTACACCTTTCTTAACCCTGAAGTTCTCACTGAGGCTGCTGGGTCACATGCATGCCTTGCTCGCTTTCCTCTTTGGTGTTTGCATGGGTTCTGCTGTTGTCTGTTAAAATTCAGTTGCCTGCTGTTCATTTTTTCAATAAAATATTGATTTCCAAGAATGCTGTTTGTCTTACTACAGTCCCTAAGTACATTAAATAGCTATTTGCTAGCTATTGTGCCTTCTGCCTGTGACTGACCCACCTCTTCATGTGTTCCCAGTGCTGAGGAGCACTGCAGCTCAAGGCTGCCTGGTGCCTGAGTCGCTCTCTGCTGATGGCAATGGAGCATGGTCAAGGAAGGTGTCCTCTGGGACCAGAACAGCAGCACATCCAGCAACTGAGATGTAGTTCTGCAGGTATAACCCATGGGCTAGGCTTCCAGCACTTAGTAATTACATTAGGTTGATTTGTGCTGTCTTTGCTAAGAGTAACCTTGTTTACTTGGTGCAGTAGGGTTCTAAGAAGGAACCACTGACATCTTAACCTGGTTTGGTTCTTTCCTTCCTGCCCACAAACGTGTACAACGCATCTCTGATACCAAAACTATCTGTGCAAGATTTCTACTTTGGAGATGTTCTCATCCTGACTCTGTCTCACTGCTACCTTCTGGCAACCCATCGGTCTGTTCTGAGCACTCAGGACCTGGGCAAGCAGGTCCTGAGTGCTCTGTGCAGCTGCACGCAGACTGGTCAGAGGAGAGCCTGCATCCCGTGTGCTGTGAGCATAAAGCCAATTCTTCAAGGGCTGACACTATTACATACAGCTTCTGCAAATGACAGTGTAACCTTCAGCTTAGTAAGCAGAAAAGTGCTTTATTTGATTCCTGGTGTTAGGACCGGAGTCTGCAAGCTGCCTGGGCTGCTCTCCTTGCTGTTTAACATGTAACTTCCAGCCAGCCCCTCTCCTTGTGCCCCTGCTAATGGCTCCTGAGCACAGTTCTGCATTCCAGGCACGTTCTCATCCCGCCCCGCTCGCTCGGGCTGGGTTAGTCATGCATGTCACTGTGTGTCAGATCTGCCTCTCTCTGCTCTCTGAATCCTTGCTTTATAAAAGACAGTAATCAACAAAAGGGTGGTTAAAGATGCAGAGCTTGGTTATAGGCTCTTGTCACCTCTTTCACTGTGATCGTTGGACTAAAGAGAGCATTTTAAGCACAGAAAAAATTCCAGGGTCCTGGGAAAGTGGCTGAGGCCCCACTGCTCAACTGTGGGGCACTCACTGAAATTAGTGGGTTCCAGTGATGTGACTGTGAACCACCTGTTTTCTAGGAGAAAATTAAATGAAAGCTTAATGCCGTGCCATTCCTCACAGTCAAATTGTGCCTCTGGGAGTTACTGTTAGAGCTCCCAGTCACTGTGTGGGGATTGTGTCATGTCTGTAAGAGTGTGCAGCAAACTGCTTGGGTTCCTTTGCTTGCATGTCTTCTACCTGCAGGTATAATCTTGTGGCTACTTAATCACTTCCATAGCAACCAGCCTGTCATAAACAGGATTATGGTGTCAGTAAGGGTGCAGGACATGGAGAACCAAGGCAGGAAGTCTCCCCTCATGCAAATACCCTCACTGATGTGGGATAAGGAGGACAATACAGAGAGGTGTGCATTGGGAATGCTCTGTTTGTGTGCTGTTGGGGAGCCTCATCATCAGGAGGTGGGAGGAGCACATGTGTGGTGGGAGATGAGTCCTTGAACTGCCTGGGGAAGGTGGGCACATGTGGTTGGCCAACCCAAGTAAGCACCATGCAGAGCCCGAGGTGTAAGTGCTGCTGTGCCTCAAGCAGTGTGATTAAAATCTCAGAGGCACCAGGGGCATGTTGTGACCATCTAATTTTGTGCCTGCCTTCTTCATACTCCCCTGGTGAGAGCATCTTAGGTTCCCTGCTCTGGGTGGTGTAAGATTATTCTATTACAAAGTATTGATTGCATTAATTCCATTACTGGTATCATAGAATGGCCTGGGTTGAAAAGGACCACAATGATCATCTAGTTTCAACCCCCCTGCTACGTGCAGGGTCGCCAACCAGCAGACCAGGCTGCCCAGAGCCACATCCAGCCTGGCCTTGAATGCCTCCAGGGATGGGGCATTCATAACCTATCTGGGCAAGCTGTGCTCAGAGTTAAATTAAAATGCTGTCTGAGCACATGCTCCATCTAAATTTCTGTCTTTAGCTGAGCTCGCGTTGGCAGTTTCAGTGTTGAAGATGATGGAAGGAAGGAGAAAAATCAGGAGGTTCTTTCTTTAGCTTCTTTTAGCATTGAAGGCTGGTGGTGTCCTGTGAGATTCTTCTGCAGGCCGTAAGGGGAAGGTTTGTGGGGGGGGTTCAGGTTGGATATTAGGAAAACCTTCTCAGAGCGGTGATGCACTGGCTCAGGCTGCCCAGGGAGATGTGGGGTCACTGTGCCTGGAGGTGTTCCAGAACTATGGGTGTGTGGCACTGAGGGATGTGGTCTGTGGGGATGGGTTGATGGCTGGACTAGGTGATCTTAGAGGTTTTTACCAACCTTTATCATCATAAACTGAAGGGCAACTCATTTACTTACACACAGTTGTTGCTGGAGGTGTTGTGGTGGAGTTTATGCTGCTTGGAGTTAAGTGAGAACAGTTACTGAGTGCTTTGTAAGAGTGTCTGAGCAAATGCCCTGCTCTGCTTTGTTTGTAGTTCATGCACCGCTTACTTTCATTCAGTAAAAGCTCCATGAACCTACCAGAGTTGTTGCAGATATTTGCTTTGTCGCTTCAGGGAATCTTATCTCAGGGCTGCTCAAAATTCCTTTCTAGAGGATTGCTCTCACTTCTTGCAGTGTTTGGGTGATGTAACAAATGGTTTGATTGCTTCAGTGAGGCAAAAGTACTGCTTGGCTCTTTCCCAGCAGCTTTAACACCTGCTAAAAGGTTGAAGGATTCCAGGCAACTGCTGCCAAGCCATCAGGGCTTTGAGAAGTCTCTTGTCAGAGATCCAGCATTTTGTATATGTTGGGAGTTAGATATCATTCCCCATTAATCTAATGCAGTTGGTCTGAGCAGATCTAACTCTGCTGCTGCTCGTACTATTTCTGTGTTGCTGGTGTGTTTAGGGAGCGGATGGGAGTTTGTGGCATGTGATTGTGATCACTGGTGTTGAAGTGAAAGAGGTGAAGTAGACTTAGGAGGGCATGGCAGTCGTCTTTGTAGCTTCAGAGAATCTCCAGTGTAGTTTTATTGTGGGTGGGGTGGTCAGTGAGCTCATCCTCTGTCCTATATGTTGCTTGGGAGATCCTGAACAGCCCTGCTTGCAAAGTGGTGAATCCCACTTTGTGATAAGCTTCCAAAGTGGCAAATTGCTGATTGCACAGGTGCCTCAGAAGAGCTGTTTTCAGATACAGAGTAAATTGTGAAGAGAAATGTAGGTATGAACACTGCAGGTTTCTATGAATCCAAGAAAAGCTATTAATTGCAGAAGACAAGTGGCTGAAAGTCCATGCAGCCACGGAGTGAACTGGAAGACACCTAAGTTAAAAATAAATGAAGGAGGAAGTGGTTGGCAAACAGGGAGTGAGGAACCAAGCCCCAATTTCTGTGCAGATCTGATGAAAGCGCATTTCAGGAAATGCAGCAGCCAGAAAAGCTGATGGTGTATTTCTATGTTCAGCATTGGGGAACCTGTAAGGTCAGAATGCTGACTGGGTAGCAGCTGTTTGGCTGGAGTGCTCCTGGCTTGCTGTAGCTCTCCATGCAGAGAGAGAACCCATCTCAAGCTGGTTATTAATCTAAGGGTAGCATTGAGAAGACGTGGCAGTAAGGCTTACAGCACACCTAGCTAGAGATGAAACAAAAACAGCTCAGAATTATACTGGGAGTGGGGGGAAGCTTCAGTCAGTTGGGGTTATGAAAGCAAATGTACTTCCTTTTCTCTTCGTAGTTTTGTGCACAGTGAGCAGTGTTGCAGCTGCTGTCTGAGGGGAAGCTTCAGCGTGCTTAAATTTTCAAGGTCAAAAGCACAGAGCTGCTGAGTGCTGTTGGTGAGGGATGCAGCACTTCTGACATGTGGGATGGGTGAGGCAAGGTCTTCCTGGAGAGATGGGGTAGCTCTGTATCTCAAATGTCCAGAGTAGCTTACATTTGCCAGTGTAACACAGTGACAGACTGCAGAGGGTAAGCTGAGCACAAGTGGGAAGCAAATTTGCAGTCAGTACCTTTATCAAGGTACAGAGTTCCCTTTGAGCATCTTTTTCCATAGATGTACTCTGGCATTTGGTGCACTCCTGCATCAGCAAACTGCACTGGGTAGCCCTGGAGCACTGCTGGCAGGTGGAGGCACACCAGGACGGTGCCATGGCAGCAGGGGCTGCTTCCTGCTATCGTGGTACTAACACCCATTCTCCAGGCCCAGCCTAGAAGCAGTAGCTCCAGTAACAGCTGCACAGCTCAGACAGCACAGAGGGACAAGATGTGGTGGCAGAAAGTAAAGAGGCACTGATCTATGGAGCTCCAAGCAGCTAAAGCTGCAGCAGAGCGTACAGCACTTGAATTCATGCCTTGAACACTGATCCAAGCAGCGCTCTGCTGTAAGGTAGGTGCTTTGCTGTAATGCCTTCCCCAGTTGTTGCTGCTATGAAAACAAATGTCAAAGGACTCCATTTCTGACAATGGCCCTCTCTGTCACAGGCGCTGCAGCGCTGAGAGCTGCTGGATTAGCGTAGCAGGGGTGGCTCAAAGCAGCTGATAAGCACTGAGCATTTCCTGCTGAAATTATGACCGAGTGACTTAGAATTCTGCTGCCTTGCACATTTTTCAATCCCTGACTTAATAGCCAAGCCCTGGCTGCCTCAGTTGTCACCGCGTCCTCTTTTGCATCTGTAAATCGCAGGAGGATTTTTTGGTGTCCAAGTCTGCAGCGTGTGCGGGTTGGGGTCAGTAATAGGGGAGGTCACTTTGTTCTGGGAACTGTAAAGCATTACAAAATGCTTCCTTTCCTGTGCTGTGTTTTGGAAAAGTATTCTTCCCTATAACCCAGGGAAGCAGGGCGCTGTCAGACTCTATTGCTGTGGTGTGGTTTTTTTTTCCCCTCATTGTTCAGGTGCTTAGCTGTGCTCCAAAAGAAAGTTTATTGTTGCTTTTTTCTTTACCAGTTGAACAAATGCTTTGAAGTTTTGCTTTTAAAATAAATAAATAAATAAACAAGCTGCCTTGAGCTCCTGCAAGTCAATTCAAGCAAACTGACTTCAGCTTTATCTAGTTTTACACACAAGAGATAGCGTGGCTATGCGCAGTCTCAACTTTGCTTTGTGGTTTTGTGAAGCGCCCTGCACAAAGCTCAGCACTGGAAAGCTGGATGTTGTTAATAGCATCATCAAAGAGAGACTGATTGTTCTGAACTGCTGGGGGAGCGAGACCTGTGTGCATTGGAGAAGCTGCTTCCTGCAGCAGTTTTGAATAAATCCTTGCTGAAGACTTGCTCGTGTGTTCCTTGTTGTACAGTGTTCTTTCACAAAAGTGAAAGAAACTTCTGATAGTACTATATTCCAACAAACCAGGAGTTATTTAAAATCGGATTTGGGCTTTAAGCATGCATGTTTGTGTTTAGTTCTTTTCAGGCAAGACCTCAGTGGAAAAATAGTGCAAGACTGTGGCTTTCAGCACCATGTTATTTTGTGTAAATGGGACTCGAAAATGAGGACCTGTGTGGGGAATCCTGAAACTGATGCAACTCTCCCATCCTCAACCAACTGTGCGGCTTCAGCCCTTTAATTATGCTTCTGTGAGGTGGAAGTTTGTGGCTTCTGAGGTCATTGTTACGCAGTCCCCAGCCAAGGGAAGGCAGGAGGGCATGTCTGGGTCTGTGGCATAACGCCCTGCCCCCAGGGCTGCCCAGTGATCGCACAGAGATGCTGATCTGGCTGTGAGCAGCTTTCAACACCACGCAGAGGCAGGTCTGAAGTTACAGGATAACTCACCCTGCTGCTGACCTGAGCTGTTCTGCTGGCTTGAGGCCAGGTATCTGCAACCTGAACAGCACCGAGCCCTGACCCAGGTGTAAAACACAACTTTCTTCTTATCTCACTGTTGTAACCCTGGTCTGGTTCACTGTGCCTGCATACAAGGCCACGTTGGACATGGGTTGAAATGAGGGGCTATATCACTTCTGCAGGTAAACTCCCTGGTGTTTGAGTATTCTGTTGTGCAATATGTAACTTTGATCTGCCACTGGGAAAATGCTTCTGCCAAGCAGGTGAACCTGAGGCAGGAACAAAGTGCCCATGTGTCATCGTGCTTTGGCACTTAGTATGGTTAGGGGGCGTGTGGAAAAGCACAAAGCTTTATGTTGAGTCTCCCTTCTTGGGATAGAAGGTTCCTTCTATCTGGCTGACTCTCTCTTCTTGTGGTCCTATAGCTTTTTGTAAACCTTAGTGGTGTTTTTTCATCGAGGAAAAACACATTTCTGGGTTTGGCTTATAGATTAGCTGCTTCCTGCTCTTTATGACTTCTTTCTGGTATGGAATCGGAAACAATGCAGGTCTTGGAAAGTTGATAGAGCAAACCACTGCACCACCAGTGACCAGGGGTTTGTGATAATGCTTAATTTCTGGTTATTTCATGGCTGTGGAATTGTAGCTGA